ACTTCCTTAAAAGTAAATAGCTATTAATTTTTTATAGCTTATAAAGCATTTTTATTATATAGCTTATTTAAAATAGGGGTAATAGTTAATATAATAATATATATATTATTAATTATAATAGTTATTATTAATATTTCTTTTTTAAAGTATAAAATATAATTTATAATTTTTAAAAAGTTTATTTTTAAAAGTAAAAGGGTTATAATAAATTTATTTAATATAATATATATAAATATTTAAAGTATATACTTTCCTATTAATTATATTAATTAAATAATTAATTTATAATAATTATTAGAAAGGGCTATCTTTTTATTAAAATATTTACTTTATATTATTATTATATTAATTATTAATATACTATTCTTTTTAATATAGCTTTTAATAATAAAAGATGCTTAAGCTTTAATATTAAATAGTTTAATAATTATAGCATTATATAAAGTTTTCCTAATTTATATAGCTATTTTAAGGGTCCCTTTTATATAATCTTTTATTTAAAGTAGGTTAATTCTTATATTTAAAGTTTTATAAATTCTTTATATTAATTTTTAAATTCTTATATATATATTATTAATAAAAATTAATAAAGATATAAATTTTAATATTATTTAACTATTAAATTTATTTAACTTATTTTAATTATTAATTTAAAAGATCTATATATTTAATTATATTTAAATATTCTTTTTTCCGGATATTTTTTTTATTTTAAAGGCTTAAAAAGCTATAAATTAAAATATATTAAGGAATAAATTTAAAAGTTCTTTTTAAATTAATCCTACTTTAACCTTTATTAAATTTTAAATTTAATTTAAAAATATTTATTACTATTTAATTTTTTAAATAAGTTTAAACGTTTTTATTATTATACTTTATAGGTTATTCTTTCCTTTAAATATTAATTATTAAATATCCTTTTTAATATTTTTTTTATAAATATTTTCCATTTTATTAATTTATTATTACTTTATAATTATAATATTAATAATTAAATTAAATTAAAAAATTTCCATAGGTATTAATATAAATAGCCTTAAGTTATTTTTAATAAATTATTTATTTATTACTTTTAATATAATATACCTTTTTCCATTTTAAAATTTTATTTGCTTAATATATTTAAATTTAAAATAATCCTTATATTTTAAGATTTTTATACCTTTTTATCCTATATAAATAAAATTTATTTAAAAAGCTATAATTAATTTAAATAACTATTCTTTTTATATTAATTATTTAAAAATTAATATTAATCCTTATAATTAAGTTATTTTTAATAACCCTATATCTTTAATAGGTTTAAAGTTTACCTATATTATTTTTTATTTAAAGGTAAGGTTTTTTATAAAGAATTTATACCTATATAAAACTTAATAAGCACCTTTAATAATAAAAAAGTAGCTATTAATAAAGTTATAAAAGATTTAAAATAATATAAGTATAATATAGCCTTTTTTATTAATTCCTTTTATTATTTTATTTTAATTAATTATAAAGTATTAAATATATAATAATATATTAAAGGATTTAATATATAAAGCTTTTTTTTTATTTATAATATAAAAAGCTTTATATAAATAAATATTATATATAATTAAATAGTTTTATATTTAATAATTAATATTTTTACATTTATAATAATTAAAGTTATTAAGCTTATTATTATTAATGGAATTATATTTAATATTATACTTATTAAAATTAATAAAGCTAATATACTTATTATTACTTTAAATATTATTTCTTTTATAAAGCTTAAATTAATAAATTTAAATAATATATATATATATTTATTAATTATTAATATTTTAACTTTATTATTAATTTACTTTTTATTATAATAATTAATTAAAAAGTATATAATATTAAGTTTAATTTATTAATAATTATAATAATTTATTAATAAACTTTATTATTTATATAAAATTAATAAATAAGCTTTAAATTTATATAATTAATTAATTAATATATAAATTTCCTTAAATTATTAAAGTTAATATTATAGTATTATTATTTATAAGGTTTAATAATAATATTATTATAAAGGGAAGGGTTTAATAACTTTTAATAATTAAAAATATAAAAAGGTATATAAAAGTATTTAACAATTAATAATTAATATTTAAAATAACTATTAATATAATAGGTCTATTTTAAAGTTAAAAAAATACTTTAATATTAATCTATCCCTTTAATATTATTAAAACTTCCTTATAACCTTTATTTTATAATTTATCCTTAATAATTATATTATAAATTAAAATTTATTATAATTAATTAATAAAGATAGCTTTAATTAAATTATATATATAAAAAACCTTTAAAATAAAGGAAATTTCTTCCTTTAATTTAATAATTATAATAATATATTAAAGGAAAAAATAGGTATAATTTTATAGGGTTATATATCCTTAAATAAATAATTATATAAATTATCCTTATTTAAATTAAATTTATTTTAAATTATTAACTTTATATTTATTTTTAAAAATCCTTTTTATTTTATTTTAATTTATTATAAAATTAATTAAATATTAAATTATATATTTTTTAATTATTATTTTTATTTAATAGGAAAATTAATTAACCTATTCTTTAAAAAAAAGTTAATAAGATTTAAAAAGTTACTTTAATCCTTTAAGCTATTTTATAACTTTATTACTATTAAAAAAGTTTTAAAGGTATAAAATAAAGTTAAAGATAAAAAAGCTAATAATATAAATAATTATAGAAATAAACTTTTATAAAGCTATTATTTTATAAAATAATAAATTTAAAAAAATAAATCCTTTAATTTTTAAATTATTTAAAATAATATTATTAGGTTTATTAATTAAATAATTATTAATAAATATTAATATAAGCGGTATTATTTAAATTTAAAGATTTTTATTTAATAATATAGGAAAATTAAATAAATAAAATAGTTTTAATTATAAATTTATAATATTATAAAAATATCTTTTATAATAATTTAAAAAAATAAAAGTAATAAAGATTTTTAAAATTAAATATAAAGGTTTAATTATTTTATTTTTTATTATTTATTTTTTATTCTTTTATTTATTTATATAATAAAGTAAAAGTTTATTTAGCTTTATTTATAAAGGTTTATATAATATTTTATAAATAATTAAACTAATTAAAAGAATTTAATAAAATAAAGAAAAGAAATATAAATTATAATTTATTATTTTTAAGTTAATATTTATTAATAGTTTAATTAATAATTTCTTTTTAAATTATTTTTAATTTATAAGCTATTTTAATAAGCTTATATTAATTTAATATTTTATATTATTTTTTTAATTTTTATATTTTAAATAATTTTATATAATAAGAATTAAAATAATTAATAAAGCATTATATTTAAATAGTAAGATTTAAAAAATAAAAAAGGAAGCAATAAGCTTTTTAAAAGTAAATGTTTAATATTTTATTTTTATAAGCTTTATTAATTAAAATATTAATCTTTTAATTATAGGTTATATTTTAAGAAGTATTAAGCGTTTTAATTTTATTTACCTTATTGAAGATATTAATATAAAGGGAGCTAAAGGGGGGGATAGTTAATAAACAATAATAATAAACTAATAAACCTATAACCTTTTATTAAAAATTATAAAATAATATATAAAAAGCTTTAATTAATAAATGTAAAAGGTAAAGCAATATATATTCTTTAAGGTACGTCGTGGTCTATTTATTAGGTTTCGTTTGTCTAGCTTGCGCTGGGGCAACCTATATCTTATATATGTGAAAGCAACGAGAGAAATCAAAGTGAAGCGTCCGCCATACTCTTTCTTCCGCAATGTTCATGCCCCTATTCCTAGCCCTGTCACAGTATTAAAGTCAATCTCAACGATCTCAGAGGGGGTGTATACATAGTAAGATAGAAAGAGAGCTGTGCTTGCCTAATTAACACTATCAGTGTTCAACGAACTACGGCAACACTGTACTAGATCATTTTAGTGCAACTAAGATGCGTAGTGCCAAGTTCACCAATGCTGGCTTCGTCAATTTGCCATCTTTCCAAGCGCAGTGCCGAGAGACTAGTAACAACTAATGGATCCTTCAAGTTCTGACGGATCATTGTCGAATCATGGGAATAATCTTCGTGCAGAGGCTCGTCCCGTAGCAAATGTTGACAATGTGCAGTTTTTATTGTAGATTAAAGACTACTGTTCTATGCGTTCGTCAGCCGGAGAGAGCAAAATTCATATACAGTTACCGCTCGGCCGTCTTAAATCGATCTCATCCTGAACATATCAATCCACCCTACATCAAAAGGGTTGCTTAGGATTTCCTAAGATATCGCTAGCTATCTGCTGCGATGCCCACAGATTCCTGAGCCGATGATCGCAGGCTCTTTCGGGCCCGTCCTTGCCTACCGCTTCGATCAATCACCTTCCTATTTGTACCCTAGGAAGCTCTAACGTCGTTGCAGATCAATTCGGGACGCGGCTACGCTAGACAGCTGATTGTTCACCTGCCAGTCGGCAAGAAGACTAGTCGGTGAACTTCCAGCCATTCTGGGAGGATTGCGGAGAAGTTTAAGCTGGAGTAGGTAGGTCAGACCGCTGGCGGATTCACAAGCGTACTAGTGGAGAGATGGCTATTCATCAGACTGCTCAATGGTCAAGATTTGCTAGATGTGTTATCACGCTTATAATGTATGACAACAACGACAATGCAAATCAACTCCGCCTTCGCGGTGATAGAATTCGGCCTCGCCGACTGGTATCAAGATGCCCAGGCGTACCAGATCAGACCGACTCTACTGAAAGCACGCCAGCAAGTGGAGGTCCAACCCGTTTCAGCAGGTCGATAATCATTGAGTGGAATGAAGTTGTTGTCGTAGGAATATAAATTGACAACATGACGGCCCGAGATGTGAGCTTTGAACGCACAATCTTCAGCTTCCTCGAACAATCAACACGGTCTCAACTCACCTAACCTCTAAAACAATCCTCTTGACGAAGTTACAACACAGCAAAATGCAGTTCAAGACTCTCCTCTTCACTATCGCCGCTTTGGCTCCCGTCTTTGTTGCCGCGTCGTGCGACCAGTGCGGCGAGTGTGTCAGCACTTGCACAATATCAAACTGCCCTCCGGGCTCTCACGAATGCGATGGCTGGTGCAGTAAGTCATGCTTGATATAAGGATCGCCTCCCTCTTGAGACCATGCTGACCTAGTTTTCCAGCCGACTTCTGCAGCAGCGACCTAGGCTGCTCCTGTTAATTGGCTTTAATGGACGTCATGGCACACACGAGGGGACCCTTGGAGCGACGCAAATAAATTCGAAAATGGTGTATATAAAGCATACACCGCTCAGTTGTCTGTCATAGATGGACTTGGCTAGCTAGAACGTAGGAAGCCACCCGACGTGGTCCCTTTCGTGGTCTGGCGAGCCTCATGACCCCGAAGCGGGAGGCATCATGAATTATGAGAATAATAATGAGAAAGATGATATTTCTGCCAATCCCACACGAGGACTTCTAGGTGATATCGAAAGAAGAATATTACCCAGCTTTCAAAATGAAGGACTATGGGCGCCTTCAGACAAGTAATGTGACCATTGATAAAGTTCTTTCATGACAGTCGGTCATGTGCCGACACGATCGGGCGTATCCCTTGCAGCTAAGACTCCAGATTAAGGGTTGTTGTTGATGATGCTCGACAACTTCGATTTTTAAAGATATTTGCGTTTGGAAATTTTTACTCCTCTGCAAAGCGCTTCCAAACCTCGGCATTACAACTGGAAGACTCAGGAAGCTCTTCAGGAAGCTTTTCAGGATCCCATGACCAGTCTTCCGTGTACAGCTCTGACTTTTCTTCAAATGATATTGGTGTACTTAATCCTTCTGGAACACCCGTCAAGATTAGTCGAGCCTGTACATCAGCTACCCACTTGATGCCTCTAGGTTGGGGTTCTCTTGGATTGGAGTACATGAGCACGTGAATGACGCGTTGAACAGGGGTTGGAACAGTAGTGTGTGTTTTGCTCCCTGGCCATTCTCTCATCTAAACGTCCCCTGGAAGCACTTCGTAATGGTCAATTCATTGATGGGAGTAGGTCTGGACCTGCTTCAAGGCATGTGATGTCCCAAGCCTTTCAGACTGCTCAGAGACGTTGCAATGAATGCTAATGAGATCATTTAGCGTACTTCACACCCCTTGGAACCTCTTGTGTCATATTCCGCAGCGAATATCCTTACAAAAGTCCACCGAGCCTCGATGTAAGGAAATTGTTGGCGATCGTCGAGTATATACAACCCTATTATTGTATCAAAGCAGCTAAGAGCCACTGAGTGGACAGTGTGAAATGATGGGTTCCTAGGCTGAGATTGCTAACCCCTGGGGAATGCCAGTATATCATACAAGCGAGACCTGAATAATTTCACATCAGCGGTACTGAGGCTCTCTATGACTTATAATCGAAGACTGCAGGTTAAGCGCGCACATGGTCTTCAGCACGTGTCGCTATCTGTTGGAGTTGAAGTCGGCGCTACAGCTGGTCGGGGGTAATCTCAGGTTGTTGCTTATGGATGGAGTCAATAGATTTTTTAGCGCAAAGACCCAATCTATATCTTCGTCGGCAGATATCATGCATAGGCATACATACAGATAGATCTGTTGCGTTGTGGCAGAGCGCTCATGGAATTAGGGATTTCCTTCCTCTGAAGTACGCTATTATGCCACAGCTCTAGGCACAACGCCGTTACGACACTAGTACGTTGTATGTAGAGGCCTAACTCTAGATCATTACACACTTGCATCAACGTAGTTCCGATCGTAATCTTCGGATAGACGGTAGGATGCTCTGGAGTGAAGCTTACAGTAGTTGATCGTGACCGCCGATATCAAGCTCTACAATGAGGACTTGATTATTCGCTAACCGGATGCTCCCTCGTCTTTGACGTATCTTGTTAAATATACAGAATCAAGAACTTCAACTCGTTCTATATTCATGTAGGTAGATAATAAGGCGAGTAAACCTGGCAACATTGCCTACAATGAATTCGTCGATCACCTCACTGGCGGGCTGGAGTTGAGCTGAGCTGAGCCTCATCGCCTACTAGCCTCTATCTACCTATTAGTATGGATGTACGGCCAGTGCCCTGTCAATTGTACACTAAAGGCCCACCAAGCCTGCTACACCTCCCTAAAACAAGAGTTTTAATTGGCTGTCACCCTCCATCAAGTCCCTTGAAGCCCCTGGACAGGGATTGGTGGGACGTGGGCAGCTCGCCTCAAGTACCGTACTGTACTCACGATGATTTCAGCTAATTGTCGAACCTCATCATCAGATTTGGTAGTTTTGCCATTCCATCACCAGATCTGTCATTGAACGCGATGCTGCGTGATAGGTAGTATGAGTATCTATCCACGGCGATTTTAAATAGATATGATGTGACGCCAAACCAGCTCTAACTGGCCAGTTCCTTTCTGCCGCAGCTATGAAACGCAAGAGTTTCACAGGGGTCAATGTCACGACCGCCCTCCCCTCCCCCCTTCTCGCTCCCTGCCAGCCATCATTCGAGCCAACATGGTCCCATTTACGCGCCCGACGAGAGCATTTGCGGTAGCTTTCTTTCCTAGGTAGGTAATGTAGAGTGGATTGAACAGGCATGGTAAATTCCTCCATCCATCATCGTGCGTCGTCTTTTTTTCTTCTTTTTCCCCTTCTTCCCGTCTGACGACTTGATCTTCGTTCGTGCAGCTGTACCAACATATCCCATCACCACCTTTCATTTCAGTGCGATATACTTTTTGCTATTCTTCTTCTACTTCTTCAGGGTGACAGGTGCACCGTAATTACACTATAGACATTTATATATACCTTCTTTTTTTTGTGTTGCTGTGTTTTTCGGTCCGCGATATTGAAGCCATCGATACGGTACCACCTACATCTCCAAGCTCTTGCAAGCAGAGAAGAGCCGCGCCCACGCATACATCGTGCATTTATACAGCAACGCCCATAAAAGAACTAGCGCTCATACATCACCATGTCGGCACCTCAGCACACCAGCCCGCCCGTCCAGGGCCAGTTCGCCTGGCTCCACGCCATCGGCGCGACACCCGAGGCCGTCGCGACGCTGAACGACCAGCCCTACGTGTTCTTCGTACTCGTCGCCGGCCTGGTCATCTGTATCCTCGAGGGTCTTTTCATATGGTACATTCATTTCGCGACTATGAAGCCCGAGCAGAAGAAGGCGAAAGAGGACGCGAAGAAGAAGAAGGCTGAAAAGAAGGCCGGAAAGAAACCCGGCGGCAAGCCTCCCGCTCAGCGATAGTAAAACAAGCCATTCTCGTCTTTGCCTCTGGAGAATGTTGGAACGCTTGGGGATTTGCGGGATTCGACACGCTGCCCATCGGCTACAGCAGAGAGATCTGCACTGTGATTGATGTGGGCTGTAAAAGGGAGAGGGTGCAGGTCATCGATACTGGTGTCATGAGAGAGAACGCAGAGATATCCCCATCTTTCACGATCATATATCATCACGGACGCTGGGGTTCGGCTTTATGAAGAATTGCTGATGCTGTGGTCATGAGTTGCTTTCTTTGCTTTTGAAATTAGGCTACGAGGCATTTAGAACTAATGTCAGGATACTGCCTCTAGAAGGATAGATCCTGTGCTGTACTGGGATGGTCCTCTGTCTACCTCAGCGCACCCTTAGACCGGAGAGGTTCAAGCAGCTCTTGAACTATTTTGTTTACGTCGAAAGAATTACAACACATGCGTCAATTGTAGTCTGTCTACTATGTCTCTAATCTCCATTCTTCGACAACCGTGCTCGCTTATCTTCGAAACTTCTGCCGTAGATTCCGCCCAGCATTGGGCCTTCTCAGTATGACAAAGGAATGCCAGTAAGTTCGGAGCTAATGCTTCCTAGTCCTGCAGGAACCACATAACCATATTCGTAGCTATGAAAGTCGTTGCTTTCCTCGTACATATAATCTGACATAGGTTGATCTTGCATGGCAGATAGATCCGATTCAAAGTGGTGAGTATAGATTTGGTTGATCTCCTTATCTGGGTGATTTGATTCAGCTGCCGGCAATGTAACTTTCTTGGCTTTGGTTCTTCTCGTTCCAATAGTCGGTTTCACATCATTCTGCAATGAATCCCATAACAGACGATGAACAGATGACTCTAGTTGGGTGACCGAGTGCTGACTAGAGCCTCTGTTCAATTCGGCGGAACCGCCTCCCAAAAGCTCTGCTCCTTTGCGTCTGAGCTCGGGGGATTGGCCGTTAAGAGATGACGCAAAAATATTTGCTAGTGTAGCGAAATACTTGGTGTGGCTTACTATGGACTGGGAAAAACTTAGTTCCTGTTATGGGAATCTCATTCCTATACACCTACGTACCTTCCGATACCGAGAATTGCAAATTGCTGGTGCGAGATCGAGTAACGATGGGGACTTTTGGGGCTCACGAATTGACAGCCCTTGGAAGATCTTGCGTGTACCGATAATAATGCAAAATGCGGCCTCGACCAAATCGGACGAATGCTCCCATAATTCAAGTGAATCCGGTTGATGGTTGGTGATGAGCCCATCCGAACAGGCTGCGCGGTCTGAGGACAACTTAGATCCCGGGCTCTTTTCCATATGGTTTGAAGATGCGAATTGTAGAATGCATTCCAGACCACTCAAGTGAGCGGTGTGGGCATGTGGAGGCGATATAAGAGCCGAAGACATGTCTGGTTGCTCAATACCAAAATATAGATTGGGATGATTTCCCTCTTCTCCACGATATTGGACATCAAGGATCTTCGCTTTAAGACCAAGCTGTGACCATAACTGGATAGAATGAGAAGTCGTCTTCAAGTAGACACCCCTGGTACGACTTACGGGACACTGACAAATTGTATCGACGACAAGGTCGACCAAAGCATCTTGTTCTTCACTACAAATCTCATATTCGGAGAGGCGCAAGGCTACATCTAGTCGACAGAGACCACGGGGGAGTAGCCATAGCTGTTTTGATTGGATTAGACAAATGAGTTTTTCCTGTGGTATGTTGCTCCCCAGGGAGCTGTGGACGAAGACGCTCGAAGTCACAGACATCGATAGATTGTACGTCTTGCTCGACATGACAAATGCCTTGGAGCTAAGCTGCATGTACATGATGAATGATGAGCTTTTCCTACTCTGCACCAACCCCTAGAACAAGAAAGCAGAGCGGAGGCATGAAGATGGAAGTAATTATGTGTCTATATGAACCGGGGCTTTAGATCGCATTCCGCAGTTACATTGGAGGTCGACTGGAAAGAGCAAGGCGAGGAGAGCACCAAAGAAGCGCCAACCTTGGAAGGCTGGCAGCTACGGCCGGGTCCTCGGCACAAGAGCGTGTGCCTAATGGAAGGTGGCACCACTTGCCGAAGTCAGGATCAGGAGGTTACCAAACTTGCCAAATCACATAGAACAGGTATGAAAACACCGTCCCAGACCGAATCTCATTCCAATCCCATTCCCTCTAGCCACACTTACGACTCGATCGGTCGTTGCTCGATAGCTAAATTGACCTCGGTCGACATGCTCTTTAGCTTTGATGTTTAATTGTACGCCATATGGTGTTATATTGTACACTAATCGTTCAATATTGTACAAGTACAGGCCTGTTGCTGTTCAGGGAAGATCCAGAGGGATTCGGCTGCCTTCGGCCAGTTCAGGAATGGGTCGCAGAGTTTCTGCAGAGACTTTCCGCCTGGGCCTCTTCAGCTCTTCCAATGTGATACCATCCAGCTTTGTGATTCCAACAATTGGCGGCTCCCCCTTCTTCACAAATTCCCATTGACCTAAGCATAAGTTAGTACTAGATATGCGTTAATGCAAGGCCATGTTCAGATTTACCTGGAAGTTTGTTGCCAGCTAGACGGAACGCATCGCGTACCACTTGCTCGTGTAGCATTCCCCTGAGTTCTAAAACGATCTGATTGACAGCTACACGAGCTGCCCAATGGTCGAAACTACCCTTGCCTTTACCCATACGAATCTGAAGTTCAACGTTAGAACCAAATTGAGGATGATTGATCACTTCGAAAGGGGGAAGGGGACGGGGAACACCCACCTCGTTACCGCTAACGAAGACGCCGACGTTACAGCACACGCGCTTATATAACCGATACTTCTGCCCACGTAAACGAGCTTTTATTGTGTCCTCGGCAAGCTTGAGGTTGTGCGAACTAATTCTGCGATGGTGGTCGGTCATACGTAGACCATAGTCACCCCAAACGACAGTCGTCCCTTTAGTAGAGCCTCCCGTGGGAACTCGTGGCCGACCTTTCATCATCTTTTTCTTACGGTCCAGCTGAGGCTCGAGCCAATTGCCGAACATCGGCGCGGAGGCAGAGAAGAGTCGGACACTTTGCGGCCCTGCGAACTTTCGAGTAGCAGCCGCGGCGCTGGGTATTATTGATGGCCGCGTCGTGGGAGTGTGCGCAATGTTCAAGGATCGAAAGGCCCCGACAAGGCACGAGGAGGTGGTAGGGCGCATCATCGCGGTCGTAGAAAGAATCTCTTCAATCACTTCCGCAGCCCAAGCAAGTTACCCAAGCTCTACTTCGTAGGTGAACTTTTGGCGTTAGAAAGCTCCTTCAGACGATTGCTCTTTGATTGGCCAAGAGTGGCAGGTACCTTTACGCATGTGCCTGGTAGAGATGGTACATCCGGTACATCCCTACTTCGTAATGATGATCACTAAAATCCCATCACTAGGCATCACTAGGTACCTAAAGATGTCCCGAGTTCTGCCTTCGCTGATAAGAGAGATAAGAGAAAGGGTTGCCTGCGCAGGTCTGCGCAGCTGAGACATGCCCCACTCATAACTTAGTATAAGTGGGCAAGACCAGCCCGCGCTAAAATCAATTTAAGTGCTAAATCCAGGTAGCTACGATCGCCTACAGCGCGCGCGTCATACGCTGCCATCAACGCGTCTGATTTGGGACGTCTCTTAACCACCAAAGCTCGCCCATCGTCGACTCTCTGGGCGTGAAACCCGCCTACAACACAACACAACACAACACAACACAACACTACACTACAGCCCATTGACCTATCTTCGTAGACAGTCGCTCACTCGACGTGATGCCTGACATTCGTTCTTTTTTTGGTGCAAAGGGCGGCGCACCCCCTGCGAAGCCCAGTGCTTCTAAAAAGGCAGATGCAGAGCCTCCAAAGAAGCGTACTAGTAGGGAACCGTCCGTCTGAATACACGGCAACCAATACTAACGAATTGGTTTTCTTAAGAAGTCAGAAAGGTTGTCGAGGATAGCGATGACGAAGAGCAGGAGCCAGCTGTCGAGTAAGCTTTGAAGATGACCTAGTGCTCGCTCGAATGCACCTAATCCATGTAATACATAGGCCAAAGAAGCTACCCACTAGATCCACGCCTCGAAAGAAGCAGAAGTAAGGCGCCCTAGACGAGAAGCAGGGTTCAATGAAGCTGACTATAGAGTAGTGACAATGAGATACAAGGGACTGCTACCACAGCAAGCGAATACTTCGCCTCAAGTAAAAGTAAAGCTCAACCGCCCGCGAAATCAGAAGCGAAATCACAGGCCAGCCCTGCAGTGGCAGTACGCTCTAGTCCTAGGGTGAAGAAAACCGCCAAGCAGACTACTCCAGAGAAGAAACCAGCAAAGAGACAAGCCACCACAACAGCCAAGTATCACAATCTCCATGATGACGAAGATGCCTTTATGGATGACGATGAGGATGCGGCAGACGACATATTTGCTGCCGATGCTAGGTCCCGTAACAAACGAAAGAATGATGACTACATGGAAGAAGAGAGCGAAGAAGAATTTCTACCCAAGCCGAAGCGAGTTGCGCCTAAGAGCAAGCCAGATGAAGACAATATCAAACCGACCGCTAAAGCCTCCAAAAACTCCACACCTGCCAAAAAACGAAAGACACCCGAGCCTGATTCTGATGAAGAAGAAGACGAGGAGGAGGAGGAGAAACCAGCCACTCGCAAGAAACCTGTCGCTAAAAAGCCTAGGGCCCCGAGAGCGAAGAAGGCCGAAGGACCCGAAGACCCCGATATTCAAGCTATTTTTGACGACATTCCTACAGTGAGACCGCCAACGCCGCCAGAAAAGGACCCAAACAAGAAATTTGACTGGAGAAAGGCAGCAGCAGGCGGAGGCAACTCAGGACCCCCACCAAACCCAACTGGAGACATACCCACAGGAGAGCCTGATTGTCTTGCCGGTCTTACTTTTGTATTTACGGGTCAACTATCGACTATTGCGCGCGAAGAAGCTCAGGCGCTTGTCAAACGTTATGGCGGCAAGGTCACTGGTAGTCCGAGCAGCAAAACGAGCTATGTAGTCCTCGGGGATGATGCTGGTCCAAGTAAATTGGCGAAAATAAGGGAACTCAATATTAAAACTATCAATGAGGAAGGACTGTTTGCGCTCATTCGCCGACTCCCCGCGGGTGGTGGAAGCGGGAAAGGTGCTGAAAAAGTGAAGCAGAAACGAAAAGAAGAGGAGGAGAAGATCAAGCAGCAGGCAGCTGAAATGGAGAAGGAAGAGAAAAGAAAAAGAGCAGAGCAAGAGAAGGCCCAAAAAGCAGCGGTGGCTCGAGGAGCTGTCACTGCCTCACAAGCACCACAGCCATTGTCTGCCCAATTATGGACCGTCAAGTACGCTCCCACTCAGGCGAGTCACATATGCGGAAACAAAGCTGCGGTGGAAAGGATTCAGAAGTGGCTCAAGGGCTGGCCTCAAGCAAAACGCTACAATTTCCAAAAACGAGGCGCAGATGGTATGGGTGGGGAACGTGCTGTCATTCTCTCGGGCCCCCCTGGCATTGGCAAGACAACTGCTGCTCATCTTGCTGCTAAACTCGAAGGTTACGACATCATCGAAAGCAATGCTAGCGATACGCGAAGCAAGAAGCTTGTTGAGTCTGGTGTTAGCGAAGTCATGAACAATACATCACTTCATGGCTTCTTTGCTGGTGATGGAAAGAAGGTCGATAAAGAGAAGAAAAATATTGTTCTGATCATGGACGAAGTCGACGGTATGTCTGCAGGTGATCGAGGCGGTGTTGCCGCTCTCGCGAAATTTTGCAAGAAGACGGAAGTGCCTCTCATCCTTATATGCAATGAACGCAAGTTGCCAAAGATGAAGCCTTTTGACTTTGTCACATACGATATCAAATTCCAGCGACCTCAAATCGACCAGATTCGTTCACGCATGATGACGATATGCCATCGAGAAGGCCTCAAACTACCCGTGCCGGTTCTTGATGCTCTCATTGAAGGCAGTAATCGAGACATCAGACAGATCGTCAACATGTTGGCCACAATCAAGCTAGACCAAGTATCGATGGATTTCGATCAGAGCAAAGACATGTCCAAAGCATGGGAGAAGTCGATCGTTCTTAAACCATGGGATATATGCCAGAAGATGCTTGCCGGGGGTCTCTTTTCTCCCGCGAGCAAATCTACCCTTAATGACAAGATCGAGCTCTACTTCAACGACCATGAATTCAGCTATCTCATGATACAGGAAAATTATCTTCGCACGAAACCGTCGACACTGGGAGCCTATCGGGATAACAAACGAGAACAGAATTTGAAGCTCCTCGAGGTAATGGATCAGGCTGCTGAAAGCATATCCGATGGTGACCTAGTAGATCGAATGATCCACGGGCCACAACAGCATTGGAGTCTTATGCCGACTCATGCTGTATTCAGTACGGTTCGACCGGCCAGTTTTGTGTCTGGGCAGCTTATAGGTTCAAACTTCACCAGTTGGCTTGGAAACAATAGTAAATATGGTAAACTTGGCCGCTATATACGAGAAATCCACTCTCATATGCGACTTAAAGCATCTGGTGATCACAACGAAATTCGCCAGCAATATCTTCCGATTTTATGGACACAACTTATAAAGAGATTAGCCGACGAGGGGAAGGAATCTGTCGAGGATGTTATTGAACTCATGGACAGCTACTTCCTCACCAGAGAAGACTTCGACTCTATCAAGGAGCTTGGCGTTGGTCCTCAGCACGAGGAGGCTGTTTCAATCGATACGCAGACCAAGTCTACTTTCACTAGATTGTAAGTTCGATATCTTTCTTCTCATGGAAATCATGCTAATCATCGTAGATACAACGCTATGAACCACCCAGTACCATTTATGAAGGCTAGCGCTGTTGTTGGCTCTAAGAAGGTTACCAAGGATAAACCTGATCTTGAAGAAGCGATGGATGATGAAGATGATGCTGAAGCCCCAGAAGCAGTGGAAGTTGCTGATGATGACGAAGACGAGGATATTTCAAAGGACAAATACATCAAGAAGCCTAAAGCGAAGAGTGCGAAGAGAGGACCAAAAAAGGCGGCTAAGACGGAGGCCGATGACAATGAAGACGAAGAGAAACCAAAAGGTAGGGGCCGTAAACCAGGTGGGACAAAAGGCAAATCCAAGAAATGAGTGGCCGGGACTATCTTGGAGCCAGGAGGATGCATCAATAGCTAAATACCTCCCGCAATGGTCGTTAAGTTCATTGTTGTGAACAAAACTTGTGGCATGGCTACATTTGCCAAGAGAGAGCGTGGCTTTTACTATCTAAAGATACAGAACTTGCAGTAAACTGCCTGTACACACCAAGCACAGGCCATACCATGTACCTGTAATGGTAATATTGTCATACTTGTAGTGTCTTCAGTATCTGATCACGCCCCAGTACTCGTTACTTCCACACACTTGCGATGACCTGCTACCCACAACACGCAACATGTACAAACAACAGAGGTACATATGCCCTTCCTTAGGTACTCAATGTCATTGTGAGGCGGCTTGAATTATTCTAGTGCCGTGCATTGCCCTTAGAAATTCACAAGGAATTCGTGACTGCTTTTAATGGCAGTTCACATCCTCTCCAATTTCTGTGAGCTCCTTCTGCAAGGCTACCAAACCATGCTCTTCCTTTGCCAATTCTGCTGGTCACGTAACTGGATCTCGAAGAGCTATCATAACTCAGTATCGAATCTTTTTCTTGTTCAATATGTCCGCCCGGAGTCCCATTGGTCGGCCAATTGTTGGTCGTCCGCGTCGAAGCTGCAAGTTCTGTCAGATATTTCTATCCTGAGAGAATGAGTACTAATTCTAAACAGACAATGCTGGATCAGACGAAGGTAACTCTGCTATCAGAACTCCCAGTCGTCACCGCAATCGAGACGGAGCAACGTACAGTGAGGATGATATCAGCCCTATCCCACAGGTCCCCCGCATACCGGACCGGTTCCAGCCTCGTAAAGGGCGTCATCATCTTAACCCCAATTCAGGTTCTTTGGTGGATTTGAAAGGAAAGGGGAGAGCTGAGACGGAAACTACTCCTGCACCTGATACTCTCTATCTTCCTAACTGCTCCATCGGGAAGCCCAAGGAAATACAGGTTGTTTCAAATGCTATGATGCAAGCATATGTCGCAATGCGCGGAAACTATTTAGGAGGTGAAGATGGAAATGATCCTTTATTTAAATGGATTCAGCAACGGGAAGAGCTGGCCCAGTCTTCCAAACCGCATATTCATCACAAGCGCGACGTCTCAAGGTAAGATGCTATCACTGTTTAAGCCCCAAGCCATTGATCTACCTAGAGTTCATATTCAACATACTTGCAGAAATGAAGGAATTTGGTCTAAAGCTAATATAATAATCTTAGAATGCTCCAGCTCATCGATAAAGCCCTCGAGTCTTCCAACATGGGCGGTGACTCGCCTCGCGACTGTATATTCGAAGTGTACCGGCCAGAATTTGAGCACATCCAGCCACCGCAGGATATGGACATGTCTCCTCACATTTTCGCCGCGTCCTGCGATGATTTCGAGTGGGAAGACGACTCAGATGACGAAGAAGCCGATGTACCTAGTGGTCGTATCTCACCCTGTACTTTCTTAGAGTGGTCCAAAGACTGCGTACGATGGAATGCCAATGATATGGAGATCAAGCAGGTACGCACGGTGTATCTCTCACCACGATATATATATGTACATTGCCTGAGCGGCAGCACTCACACGTCTCTCCAGGACACTACAGACTACCTGCGCATGCGTCCCCCCACGCCTAGAGTTCCAATCCCCCGGCAACGTCACGAGCATATCCCGTACGGCAGACTCGAGGCGCAATGGGACATTCACACGGGCGAGGAGCTCACGCCTACGTATTATGTCCCTAATAGCCCGTCTATTATTTACACGCCGCCGGGCATCGACTTCGTTGGCTTCAGGACGCCTAACTTTCACGCACAATATAGACGCATGGCACCGCTTGTGGAACGCGAATTGCGCGGAAGAGTCTATGGTGGAGGGGAAACGGCGCTCCCTGGGTTGTCGGACGGTGAGAGAACCCGATTTACTCCTGTAAGTCTGACTGTGCGCACATCGTTTTCCTATACTTCTGTCTACCTACATTACGTGCCCGAATACCTATAACTATCGTTGGTACCTCATAAATCAGGAGGGTATCTATCTTCGCTGAGTCACTAAATTCGAGAATTCTCTTCCTCTTGCCTGCCCTGAACACACCACAACACAATCATTAACCCAACCCTCGCAGTCCGAGGTCGACGCAGCGACAGCTGTCATCCCCGAACTCCAGAACGCCCGCGGCACAGAGGTCTCCTCCATCCTCCGCGAGCAATGGGCCGCGATCCAACAAACAGAAGAAGCAGAGCGCGCGCTATACCGCCACGCCGAGCTCCAGCGCGAGCACATCGCGCGGCTCGAGTTCGACCAGCGGCATCTGAACGAGTTCCTGCCGGCACTGCATATGCGGCGCGAGATGCGCGATCGGGAGATAGAACGGCGCCGCGCAGAAAGGATCAGGGGATACGTAACTGATCACGCCCTCGACACCCAGACCCGTCTCGACATGGCCTGGTTCCGCCTCCATTCCACGCAGGCCAGAGTCCACGAGAACATGCGCTGCATCGCGGGCCTAGAACACGAGCTGCGCGATCTCTGCGAGAGCACCGGCGTTCGGGATCCCGAACACGCGTACGCCGTGCTCATGGGCGCGGAGTCGGAAGACGGTTTTCGCAGCCCTCGGTTCGGCGCCGGCGACGGCTTGGGAGCGTATGGTGGCTCTGGAGGACAGGCGTTCGGCCCGTGGTCTCCTTCCTCGCTGGGTCGCGCCGACGAGGAGTTCGATCGGCTCGCTGCTGATATGCGGATGAGAAACGCCGGTGGGAATCGCTGGAATGCTGATACTTCCGGCGACAGCGGGGTTGCGGGCGTGGATAATCGAGAACAGCATCGCTTTGGCCGTCATCGTCTAAATGGGTTGGGGCAGTAAGTTTGAGACTGGCTGGACTCGCTCGTTTACGCTGCTGTGAGGATGTGAACGGGATGGGGAATCCTCATGTTTCTGGTGCCAATTCACCTTATCCTATGATGGTTAGGTGGGAGTTCACTCAATTACCGGCACGCTTTCACCGGTCATGTTGTTGATCATCCATTTCGCACTCTGGCCAAAGTCGATGTCTATGTCACCGCCCCTGCTTGGGTGACCTCAGTACGCCTCGGGCTGAGTTTGCGAACGATTTGTCTTTCTTTCTTTCTTTGTTGCTTCTTTTCTGAGATAGTGATCTGGTTGGGATTGTCGCAGGACTGGTACACGGACACCCTTTTAATGACGAGTGAAGGCCATTCTCCTGGCTTGGTGTTGTTACGGCTCCTGGGAATGACGGGTTTCCCTTTTGTTGTACCTAGTGTGAATCAATGGCAATGGGTCAATGTCTATGACGGGATATCAGACAAATGATAGGCATAGAAACAGAGCTCCTACGAGACCTGCTATTCTGGGCTCTAGCCTCGCATATGAATGTATGGGCTTCTATCGAAATAAGTAATTCTGGAGTCTCGTACTTCCATCATCGGTGCAAGGTGACATGTGTAACTGGGCAGCTTTGCCAAACTCTGATTCGATTAGATGTATATAGACGCACGTCGAACATTCTGGATCGTTCAGCATTCCTCGACGAAGAAAGCAAGTAAAGTACATGAAAGAAAAGTCCCGCCTCCACCATTGTCCCAAGGCGAATAACTCCCAGATCTGTCTCCGTGCCAGGAGATATATAGAATTGAGACGCTTGCAGCTGATTCACAAAACAAACAAGATACACACCAATTACATATTGCTATACAGAACGGGGGCTTACATCCCAATTACAACCAAACCCCGAACCAATCAATATAGGAAATGAATAACGTGGAAGCTTGGAGTCAAAGAAGATGAGCAATGGGTCCCAGCCTATCCCCAACGAGCTCGATTTTGCCGGTCATACTCCTGTTCACTGTATCCATTCCACTCGTATTGCATGCTCTGGGCATCGATCGGACTCCGCGTATTCTGACCGGAGACTCTCGTACCGTCGAAGTCGAGACTCATGTAATCAAGCTGGCCTTCGATACGCCCATTCCCTAGGAATCTAATCCATCCCTTGTTGTTATTACCATACCACACCGGACCATCCGTCTCCTCCCCACGCCAGGTGAAGGGCACGGGCTCGTCGGATGACTCCCAGGGTCGCTCGTCGAAGTGCAGGATCCCAGTCACGATGCCTAGGTCGAATTTCCCCCAAAGCTTGTTACCGCTGAGGGTGAGTACGAGATCGAAGTCTTCATGACCCCATTGGTCGTTGACTTCTCGGGAGAAGATGTCGTAGCGCCCGTTCAAGAGACCAAGGGATCCTAGGGAAGATGATGGGGGCGGACTGTCGTCATCATCGTCGCTGTCGTCGTTATCATCATACTCTTGGTAAGGCGGTGGGGGTTCGTCAAAATCCTTGTGTGATTCAAAAGCACTCGAGCTCGAAATTCTGCCTCTTCTGGCCCAGTTGCCGCCGCGTCGTGCGGTTTGCTTAGCGGGATACGGTGCAGTGGTTGCTGCCTCAGCCGTGGAGGTGCTTCCTCGACTAGGCCCTTGGGAAATGCCGCCACGACGAGCAGTCTGCTTCTTGACAGGTTTCGCAGGAGAGGATGCAGTGGGTTTTGCCTTGCTCGCCGCTGATGCCTTCGGTTTCGGGGCTTCTTTGGCGGGCTTGGGAGCAGGCTTGCTTTTAGTTGGAGTATCCTTTACGCCTTTGTTAGAAGCTGATTTAGTCGCAGATGTCTTTGTCTTCTTCGCAGCTGACGAGCTCTTCGACGCATTATTAGCGGAAAGCGTGATACTAATGTCACCGATATTGATGTTCATATCGACATTAGAGGAGTCAGCTTTACGTTTCTTGCTGGCGGCCGTAGTGGAAGCCGTCGAGCTGCCCTTGCCTGCCTTCGCGGCCATTTTGGCTTCCCGTTCGCTCTTGGTCCATTCCTTCTTGAGGTCTTTTTCTAGCTTCTGTATATGCGACGGAACTGTGAGCTTGCCGTTGTTGACGGCGTCGTATAGACGCATGCGCGCAACTGATTTGGTCTTGGATGATTGTAAACCATAGTGAATGAGCTGCGCTTCAAACCAGTGAGCCGGGTGATCTTTGTCAGATCCTGATTTGAAGTGCTCCTTGAGCTCAGAGACGGTGGCACGACGGTGGCGGTTGTGGCCGCTCGCCTCTGCGTACAGGTCTCCTGCGAAGGAGAATCCGTCCTTTGTGACTGCTGGAGCAAGAGACATGGCTCATGCGAGTGAGCTGTAAAGCTGTATGAAACGAAACTCAAGCAAGTTGCAGATCCTAAATCTTATGTATCGAGGCTCTGATCTTTTGCTTTGGCTAGAGCAATAGAAGTTTCACTACCACCCCCGGAAGTACAGATAAGTCGTAGGATTCTGAAAACGAATCACATGAGCAAACACATTCAGTTCTTCCACCACGTTCCAGCGCCTACTGAGCTAGCCGCTAAACTACAAGGCGATGTTTGAGGAGAGCTTAATGGTGAGTGGTAAGGTAGCAAAGTATTCACTGAGACGCATTGATCAAGTAAGCGACGACAAAGTGTGGGCGCCAGCCCCTCACTAAAGTGCCCAACCTTCTTGTCGGCATATAGCAGTACTACTAGGTATTTGAGTACCCGGTGCATTGGTTTTTACTCACACTTCTGAACCTTGTAGCTACATGTACTACGTATTTTTGCGACCAACAATTACAACAAGGGGGCAATTGAAAACCAGGGTTGCCTAGCCACATCCAATGGTCATACTCCAGTTACGAACTGGACGAGCTATGTAGGGAGGGAGGATCGATTCCGGGCGGCACTATTGGGATTAGGTGCTTAGCCCATTTGAAGGCTCAAGATTCAACAGGTATATAGGTATTGTGGTTTCTGATCTGTCACATAGATACAATTCCTAGTGGTATGTAATGCCAAGTACATTCCAACCTGCTCTAAATGTAAGCTTGTAGTTTAGCGAACTCTCAAAACTGCCCACATACGGGAATGTGCGACAGTCGTGAATGTGTTATCATGGGAACTCTTACATTTATGTCATTTTCAAGTAACCGCACAACAGATACCTCAGATCGACGATGATATATACATATGATAGTTGTCTGAAGAGTTATAAATATCGACCATGGGTATACACGTCTCCAGTACCCCTAGCCCCTGTTTATGATGTTCCTCAATCATTTTCATCAACCATACCATGCCAGAGTCGTAAAAAATATTGGTATATCTCTACCAACCAGATTTTTGTTTTCGTGAGAGGAGCAAATTTTATACACATTACAGTAATACCCAACGCCAGGCCGCCAGCATATAGGTCATCAAGGGTTGAACTTGTTGCTTGTTGTACATGAAGAGTCTTTTTACAAGGAGCATCCTGTGCTCCTGATATGCTGATTTGGAGGGCAAGATATGGTGGATTTATTGGTTCTTAACGACGCCAACCTTAGCAGCGCGTAATATCCTTCCGTTGAGCTTGTAGCCCTTTTGCTGGACGTGGAATACGGTGTTTTCCTCCTTGTCTGGCATAGGAGTCATAAAGGTAGCTTCGTGCTCATTGGGGTTGAACTTTTCACCCTCGGGGTTGAACCGATCGAGACCGTGCTTGGACAACGTTTGGAGCATGCTGGTTTCTGTCATCTTGACGCCCTCGTAGAAGTTGTTGAGATCGACATTGGCTTCCTTGTCCTCCTCAACCTTCATCTTCTCCTGGCCCATGGATAAGGCGCGGTCCAGGTTATCGATGCTCTCGACGAGATCTTTGGCAAATCTCTGAATAGCGAAATCACGAGCAGCCTTTACTTCTCGCTGGGTGCGGTCTTGAAGGTTCCGGAAATCAGCCACAGACCGAAGGTATTTGTCCTATTGTGAAGCGTGTAAGTAGATTGTTATGACATGTTCATAGGGCAAACCCAACAGCGACGTGAGAACTACTAACCTTCCAGTCGATAGCTTCCCTCTCTTTCGTCTCAAGCTTTTTCTTCAGTTCAGCCTCAACACTTGACGGTGACTCAGCATCTTCGCTCTTTTTGGGTTCCGCTTCTGGCACTGCTTCTTCACCATCCTTCTTTGTTGTTGCGTCCGCCTGGTCGCTGTACCATCTTGTCCTTGCGGATAATGAAGCTTTTAGTGGATTTAAAGGTGCGGAGGGGAATTGCGATCGCACGGAGGGGTGTTGCGCAATTATTTTTGAGCTCGAAGAAGCGGCTCTTGAAGATGCAATGAACGCTCGCCGAAACATGTTGATAGTAGGTGGAATTTACAAAGGCAAGAGTAAGTCATATAAAGCTCAAGTTCGAAAGCGGATGCGCAAGTAAATCAATGCGAACCAGCTCGTCTTAGATAGTGACTGGGTACGCTGCCTAGTCGAGTGGGAGGGCAGCAAACGAATAATTTTTTGGCCCCATTGCCCCGAAGACCGGTGTGGCGGGGACCTACAAGCTACCTAGGTAGGTACAGTATCCGATTGTGGCTGATGCAGAGACAAACCGGCAGAAATTCTGACCGCCTATCTCACCACCCTGCACAAGCGTTTCTGCCACACCCCACCGCCCCAGTCCCCTTCTGCCTTCCCTATAAATGTCTGCCCTTCCTCCCATTCTTTAATAGTTTTTTCTTTCTTTTCTTCTTTAGCTCTCTTTGCCTTTTGGCTTAGATCAAGTGTAGTATCTGTTCTTTTCAGTTTAATCTCTGAAAGAGTCCTACTTGGACTCAATCGTGATTATTCTAATTTTTACCACCCGGGATTGGTCCTCTGTGCTTGCGCATGATCGTTCCCACCGTGTCCCTGGTATTACACTGCCTCCAGGCGACGCAAAATTATGTTTTCATTGCTATCTCTGGCCTGACCAGTGTGGTGAAGAAGACTGCTGTATATGTTTGAAGCTGGAAGGGCGAGAGTGCTTGTCTCTGAGGATTTGGTATAAGTGTTAAAATCACGGAATTGGAGGCAAGCCAAGGTGATTATCGTGTGGGATATCGTCTCATCTCATCTCGTCTCATCTCTGGATTCATAGTGGCAGCATTCACTAATGACAAGAATACGAGTTACAGACACGCACATAGGAGAAGTATTGTCTCGGTGTGGGCGGAGTTCGATGCTGCTCGAGAAATAGGTGTAGGTATACAAATGGAATTATGAAACACGCGACGTCGGACGTGGCCATATGCAGTGATCCAGATGAATGTAGTTGTAATTATGCTTCATCCACCCTGGATATCTAAATCTGGATCTGAAAAGGGCTGGAGTCGGTTGATAACGTAGCCCAGATGGCATCTTTTGAACAGTTCGCGCATGTTGGGTGAAATTACGCGTGTTACTGCGATGCAACAGTCGGCGCGTGTAGTTGCATGTATACGGTACCTAGGTTGCTCGGCACTTATGTCTAGGTTAGCAGAGGCCTACATCTTTTATCAAGTAGCTGTACCTATTTCACCTCCCAACCAATACCCACAGTATTAGGTGTAGTCGTTGTAGCCTTGCATCTTTTAATCCCTGCAGAAATCCTCAGTTAATGCTTGTGTTTCTCAGCCTTGAATAATCTCCGTTCCTTTATTTCCCACTGCCGCCACCATCCTAGACCACCTTTCTCCTGCCTCCCTTGTTGCGCGCGCCTTTGATACTCCATCTCTTGCTATTCCGACCTCTTTTACTATCGAATAATCTCATTATAGTGGTTTGCGCATCACCTACAATGGAGTACGACACCATGATGATGGACGGCGAGTCCCTAGGACCGTCCGTCAAGATCTCAGCGGTAGGTTGACGAAGCCGCTACCACCACAACAATCGGTGTAGTAGCAGCGCTCGCTCGTCCGCCCTGTCTTGTGGTGATGTATCTAACTTTGGATCTGTATTGTAGGCCGACAGCACGCACGTCGATTTTGAGCTGAGCAACGTTGATCTATCCTTTGCAAACTCGCTGCGTCGTGTCATACAAGCCGAGGTCCCCACCATCGCGATTGACTTAGTCGAGATAGAGGCCAACACATCCGTCCTGGCCGACGAGTTCATCGCCCATCGTTTAGGTCTCATCCCTCTCGATTCTCGCGAGATCGATCAACTAAATTACACACGCGACTGTGACTGCGATCAGTCCTGCGGAAAGTGCACTGTCACTCTTACTCTCCATGCGAAGTGCTCATCCGACGAAGTCATGAAGGTTTATGCGAGAGATCTCATTGTTGGCATCGATAGACCGAACAACCACATCGGGAACCCCATCATTACAGATCCTGATGGACAAGGCTCATTAATAGCGAAGCTACGCAAGGGCCAAGAGCTGAAGGTAACATGTGTTGCGAAGAAGGGTATTGCAAAGGAACATGCAAAATGGTCGCCGACTGCTGCTGTCGGTTTCGAGTATGATCCGCATAACAAACTACACCACTTGGATCTGTGGTATGAGACCGACAGCGCCTTAGAATGGTGAGTTCCGATTTCCTTTACCTATCCTCTCTCCACCTCATCTCCAATTCTAACGGCAGTGGACAGGCCCAAGAGTAAATACGCAGATTGGGAGGAACCTCCAGCAGAAGGCGAACCGTTCGACTACGACGCAGTCCCTAGCCGGTTCTATTTCGAAGTAGAGAGTGCAGGAAACATTGAGCCCGATACCATCATCCAGGAAGGAATCAAGGAACTACAACGGAAACTGGCTGGCTTGATTCATGGCCTAGGTGAGAATGACGATATGAACGGCGACTACGATGGGCCCAGAAGCCCCGATGGTATGGATGGAGGAGCACCTTGGCAGGATCAAGGCGGCTTCACTACTCCATATGCTGGTGCAGGCAATACAAGTGCCTGGGGCGGTGGAGGTGCCACCGCATACGGTACTACACCTTACGGTAACTCGGGATCAGCTGGATGGTAAAGATGGTTGATTGGTGGAGGGAGGCCGGATCTAACCATAAAATTCAGTGGGTTTCATTGCATATCGCTTTGTACTATACCAAAAATTGCTTGTTGTATCATTTCATTGGTGGTCTTTGTGGTTCGTCACTCATACTCATCGCGCAAGGAGTTGGGCGTTGAAATTTCAATCGGAGTATAGAACTGCATTCAACAAATCTAGACATAGGTTGCAAGGTAACCGTTGACTGGCGCTGAGCATTACTTATCATCAGGGCTGTAAGCTAATTGCACGATATAGATAGGTCAGGTCGCTGAATGACGACGAAGTTCCAATAGTAGTCTTGTACCGGTCAAATACAGTGAGTGGTCTTGATTACATTATCCAAGTGATGGATTCAATAGCAGACTATCTATGGGTACCTAAGTCAATGCTCGCAAGATGCAAGTTCGCTGCCTAACTACGTGATAAACGCCATTACTCCTCCCAATTGACTGGCTATGCATACACACTTTATGTATATATACCGACCTCTATATCCATTCTGCCGTAGTCTATCCGTTTCAAAAACTCATGGGCTGGTTGGGTGATGATGCTGTTGCTGCCGCTAAACGGTTTCCGAAATCCTATTCTTCTATACCCTTGAATTTCCTGTATGCTTTGCGATGTGCCTCGAGGAACAAAAATGTACATATGGTTTGTCTGTTATACATGGTTAGCACGACTTCTATTTTCCGCACCCTGACTCCTAAAATAGCTTTATGGGGGAAGAAAAATGGACTTGGCAAATAGATCCTGAAAATAAGGGGTTGACATACGGTCCCAGTCTCAAAAAGGCCGGTACCCAGCCCTTGAACATCCAGGAGACGCCCTCCTTAGCGTTGATCTCGGCAAGGAGGCTGAAGATCCCCTTATTCGTATGCGCGCTCATGACGCGGCTCTTGATGACATCGACTGGAGAGCAGATAGTGGTAGCGATGAATCCCGCGAGGAAAGAACTGGTAAAATGTGTCGTAGTGGTGTCACCAAGCCCTGTGTATGTCATAAGCATGACCTTGATTGAGTCATAGCTGGCGAGCTGGGAGGCGTTCATGAGCGCAGCACGCGTCGCATTGGGCCATACGCCCCGGAACCAGCTAGACAGGCCTTCGTTCCGCGCCATCTTGATCATACCATCTAGACCATTTCGATAATGCCGCTTATGTGATGGTCCTAGCACGGCCTCCTGCTGCATCCGCACGTTGACCACATCCGCCGCGTTTCCTGATATGCCACCTAGAAGCCCAGAGAACGCAGATAGCCCAATTAAGAGAGGTAGGCTTGTGCGCTGTCCTTCGGGTGTGAAACGACGCTTGAGGTCTTCGTAGACTCCGAATCGCACTGTTGAATATGTCATCTGCCGTAATAGCGACGCTGTGAGCCCGTCGTAAAGACCTCGTGGCCCTGATTTTCGCAATATGTGCATGATTGTGCTACTCATGGTTTTCGGCCCGTCAGCCGCACTGAGCTGCATTCGCACCTTAACTATACGACAAGAAAAATCAACCGATTAGCGCTAGACTGGCTGGCTGCTCAGATGTAACATACCAAGATCGAGCGGGTGTGTCACACATGCCGCCATACTGCTCGCACTGCCGCCAAACCAAAACGGATATGCAATTTGCTTAAGCACGACCTCTTTCTTATGTAGCTTCGGCTTCATGGCAGGACTTGGAATTGGTGCCGGAGGCGACACCGTTGCCGGGCTGTTAGGGCTATTCGAAGACATTGTAGTTTGCTGCATCGTCGCAATACAGTATTGCGTGCACAGATGGTCTAATGTCGCCGTGTCGTACCCGCCGTTCGGTCTTTCGTGGTCGTGACCGCTAGATGAGCACCGTTCGAAAAATTTAGGAATGACGTATGAAGAACGGGTCGATTTTCACCACCAGGAGCAAACGACAACGATATCTAGCCATTAAATAAGCAGAATAACCAAGGCAGGGCAACGCAAATACACAGCTACCAGTGAACCACAGGCACGGGTGGCCGATTGAACGAAGGGTTGTTAGAATCCACGGTTCTGGCTACGGGGTACTCTTTTCCGGGTTGCTGATTTTCTGGCCTAGCCGGGCACTACGGCTCTTACCTCATAGCACAGCATCGGCTTTTTTAACCCCGAGAAAGAGAGATGGGTCAACCTCAAAGTCGGCGGCGCACGGGCCAAGACGGCCCCCAACCCAGGTATGCAGGGTCATGCGATTTATCAATTGCATATCAACACCGCGCGTCATTGTCACGATAATCTCGAGGCCTCTACTCCTGCCTATCTGGGGTCTGCGCAGGATCGCAGGATGTGGGCGTCTCGGTTCAACATAGTGCTAAGAGCCACCAGGAGAGCGACTGCGATTGCACCCTGTCGGCCGCATCGCAGGTTTTTGTCTGACGGTAGGTCCCCTTTGCTAGCCTCGCGGCGGCTAACGGCGACACCGGACGAGACCGAGATCGATGGCAAGGCGTACAAGACCGACTCGTGGTTCAACGTGCCCACCAACATTATAGAAAAGGTTCCGCGCCGGCTGCATTTGCAAAAGGACCACCCTGTATACATCACTCGGCAGATCATCGAATCTGTCTTTCCCGCGCCCACCTACAAATACCACAATGACTTCAACCCCGTCGTCACTGCGCATCAAAACTTCGATTCACTAGGATTTCCGAAAGACCATCCCGGCCGCGCCAAGTCAGATACATACTACGTCAATCACGATACGTTACTGCGAACACACACGAGCGCACACCAAGCCGATACCTTTCGCGCCAACCTGAGCGATGGTTATCTAATAAGCGCCGACGTATATCGGCGCGATGAAATCGACCGCAGCCATTATCCTATATTCCACCAGATGGAAGGAGCCCATTCCTGGGACCGCACAAAAGTGCCGAACGGCGATGTCGCCGCCGCCGTATGGTCGGACATAGAAAAACTACCGAAGCACAGCGTCGAAGTTCAGGACCCCAACCCGCCGTTCCACCACGAGCGGAACCCTCTGCAAGCGGACCACCACTCTGCGGCTGAGGCGGAAGCTATTGCAGCCCATCTGAAGCGGTCCCTAGAACTCATGGTGGTCGAGATATTCACGAGAGCCAAGGCAGCCGCTAAAAGGGCTGACCCTGATTACGTTGATGAGCCGCTCCAGGTGCGATGGGTGGAGGCGTACTTCCCCTTCACCAGCCCCTCTTGGGAGCTCGAAGTGTATTATGATGGTGATTGGCTCGAGTGCGTGGGCTGTGGCGTGGTGAAGCAAGACCTGTATATCAACGCAGGTGTGCCGAACCAGCTCGGGTGGGCCTTCGGCATCGGTCTCGACCGCATCGCGATGCTATTGTTCAAAATACCGGACATCCGACTCTTTTGGTCGAAAGACAAACGGTTCCTCAAGCAATTCAAGGGCGTTTCGGACAACTTGGACTCTCTAAAACGGTTCGCCCCTTTCTCTAAGTACCCAGGGTGCTACAAGGATGTATCGTTCTGGCTGAAGTCAACGTCTTCGGCAGGTGGTAACACAAAGGCGAATGTGCACGACTTCCACGAGAACGATGTGATGGAGATTGTGCGGAGCGTGGGCGGTGACGTCGTCGAGGATGTCAAGCTGTTTGACGAATTCACGCACCCGAAGACCGGGCGCAAGAGCATGTGCTATCGCATCAATTACCGCAGTCTTGAGCGCACCTTCACCAATAAGGAGGTCAACGACATTCATAACAAGGTCGAAAAGAAATTAGTACGAAATCTTAGGGTTGAGATACGGTAGCATGTAGGGTGTAGTATCCCTAAGATAGGACATCGGACCTACAAACATGGTCGTCAGTTTCGCCAGGATATAAAACAATCCTATGGACGGACAGGAGACACCGAGTTATGTGTCATGACGATCAGTTGTTCATTCGATGGCCTGCCATTCTATCCTACGATCACATCGAAAAGGTCTGTACGATATGTAGTAGCGTCGTCCGCACGACGATTGTATTAGCATCAATGTAAATATAGATGATCGTCTCCCGCCTACAGTCAGATACACATGTACAAAATAATAGAACACACCTTGAACAATTTTGTTATGTATTGTGAAATTAGCAGCAAAAAGATCACTATGCTATTTGAACAGCTTTATCCTAAAATGCTTCGTCATCACTTACTAGATTAATGTGATTGCCTGTCTTCTGAGCATTGCACAGCCGAATTAATATTCGTCACGCTCGTGTTTATGTCAGATATTAAGATTGTTGAGCAGCCAGCCGTGATGTGGGCGGGTAAGTATTTCAAACCCCGGGAATTCGACGCTCACTGCTTACTTAGGTAGCTAAGCGACGATTACGAACCCGAGGGCTCCGGATCCACGTCTGGGGGGACTGCCAGGTTAGAGTCGGCGTGGCTTATCTAGGCACTTACTTACGGATATTGAACGATCGTGAGATCGGAAGAGGATTCTGTTTGATCACTTGCTAACGTGTGCTCGTTAAGCCACGCTGTAATTTTAAAGAGTTACCTAGATTCGACAGCGGAACTTGGTATTTCCCTGTTGGGTAACTAGGTAGACGCTAGCGCCTCCGGTTGGTTGGCAACCAAGTGCATCGTCGGTTTATTCAATTCACCCACAAGAGACTTTTCAACCCTGTGTGGCGCTGCTTAACTCCCTGTTTTATATGTTGTGCGTCACTAGCTCTTCAAAACAAAAGGGATCAAAAAGGGGGTTCGCGCAGGTAAGTGGCGTATTCGCTGCTGGTTAGACTTGCGAGGAGAAAAAAGTCTTGTTTTGGCTGTGCTTGAGAGGTAGTGGATCGGTTATGTGTCAGCAGACGAGTAACGCCGCTGCCAGCGTTTGTGGAGGACTGGCCTTGGGTCAAGAAGGCTGAGCCAATACTGCTCTCTACATTGCCGTCATCACATGGGTGACATCTACATAGAATTCCATATGGATTTTAGGTCTGGTTCTCGAAAGTCTTTTAAGGTTGATCAAGTACGACGCTTCGGCGGCTTGCTGGACTAGCCGGAACGTGGGGCGTTCTGTAGATCGATTGCCCAGTGCGACACGCTTGCATCGGTCTCGGTTCTGAGCTCCTCCGGGATTCTTGGACGCTTCGCCCACGCAGCCGAGATATGAGAGGCCAATGAGGCTGTGCCTGGTGATAGTAAACAACTGATACCTGTGCCTGATCCTCTCAACATCTCAACATTCCAGCATTCCAACATTCTGGATTAAGATGAAACGCCGGCACTAGTCGAAGTTCCTCCGTGTTTCTGCTAGGGTGAAATGAATTGTTTGATACAAACATTGAGGCCGGGCTATTGATGGCTGTGCTCTAGATAGATATTGGGCCATAAGTCATGTCCAATGCGGTGTAGGTACACACCACTACACTACGCAGTAAGTACATACGAGTAAGTAAGTACTTTTCTAGAGAGCGCAATTCCAAACACTAGGGTGCCTGCGTATCCTTTGGAGCGCTGCTTCTAGGCGTTCGTAGAAGATGCGAAAGTATCGCTGCGCCTTCAAAGTGGTGGCAAGTTACATAGCCCTGGTGGGTGACGCAGTTGAAGATTTGTCTGGCCAAGCCTGCATTGCCACGCACGCCAAATGTTCCCCGCGCCCGAATCTTCTTCGACTTGCCTCTCTTGGATGGCACGCACCGCTTTCAAAACACTGCAGATGGATAATAGTACCTACGTTATCGTATTCTGTAGGCCGGTATTATGATCTGGTCAACCAGACCTGACCGCTCAATGATTTGTTTAGTACTCAGTAGCTAGGGAAGTAGTATGTGGGTACAGTGAGTATTATTCAGAAGACGTGTCCAGGCCACCTTTGAGGTCTAGTCGGGTGAACATACCGATGTGTGACCAGCAAAGCTTTATGTTCGACATCAGATGAAGTTGGCTCACTGCTTCTTGAAGGACAGATGATCACAACGGGAAGGATTGGTACCATCGCAGTCCCAGGGCAGGTCGTGATGGTGACGAAGTGGACAGAACGGTTTGGAGGCATGTGACCCACTTTGGAGTGGCAGACAAGAGTCTTTAGCGCCCCATAACCCTGTCCATCCTGCCAGAACCCCTGCCAGCCCCCTGTAGGCGCAGTACTTAGCGCTAGCGGCTGCACCTAAACTCTAACCCATACAGCCACTTCGCGCAGATACCGATCCGAGCAAGTACATATTGGAACGCTCGTCTCCCATCTCCTCACACACACCTCTCTCTATATCTTCAACAAGTCAACCGAGAATCACAACAGAATCTTACAGCTTCCTTAAGCTACACCACTCTCTTCTCTTTCTCTAACCACGGATCTAATACACACAACAATACAGATATCGACATCAAATATGGCGGGTTCTTTATCGCCTACCGGTTCTTTTCCCACCTCGCCTTCGTCACCAGAGCGCCCTCTCTTCGAGCGTCGCGGCTCCTCGAGGTCTTCTCTCAGCTTAGATCTGTCCAGCATACCACCCCTCACACAACCCACGCCGCCAACCAACACCCTATTAATCACCAATTTGAATGACTTGGACGTATTTCGCCCAGACAACCTGCAAACAATTCGAGGGCTTATCGAGCAAATCGCACCTGTATACACGTGGTCACCATTGAAATCCTTCCGTCGCATCGTGGTATCGTTTCTCGACGAGCAGGCCGCTATCAAGGTGCGCTCGATATGGGATGGAGAAGCCATAATGGGTGAGAAGTGTCGTGTGTATTTTGGCCAACACACACCGTTGGATTTGGCCAAAAACAACCACCTGCCCCTGCCAGATGCGGGCAAGCTATTCTTCATCAGCCCACCTCCGTCACCTCCTCATGGCTGGGAAATGCGATTAGAGGATGCGCCTAACAAGATGGTCCATGCTGAAGATTTAGCCTCGGCCCTCGCGAAGTTACACCATAATCAAAGCCCTGCTTCGGCTGATATTTCGCCTGTTTCGCCCACAGATCTTGCGTCTGCCGGTATCAGAACACGCAGCAGAAGCAGCACCTTGATCTACCAGCCTTCGGAGCATGGGGGTAGCCCACATCTGCCTGCCATATCTGTGGACGACATGACTGACGAGCCAGTCATCAGCCCGATTAGCGATAAGCCTATCATGGCACACACTTCACGACCCCCAGTCGAGTTAATGGAGTAACCAGTCTCCTCGATACCTACACTCGAACATCTAAAATTTGTACTTGTATCACTTAGCATTCTTCATTACGCCTTTGTTGTCTGGCAGTTACGGCGTTATAGGGAAAAGATGGCTTTGCATGAGCCGTTGACTTTTGGACGGAGTAAACTGCATTTGATCACAACATCACACTTGATAAATCTCGCATTAGACGGGTTTGACGGGGCGCAGAGACGGGTGAACGGACAAAGCATCCAGATATCACCCAAAGCTGCTAAGAGTATAGAATAATGCGCGTGTCGTAAAGACATACCCTCACGCATGTCTAGTTGAGAATGACCATCAGAAGAATATTAATAGGCCGAAAGAACAAAAATTGTCCAAGTCCATTTGATCATTTTGTGAACATGTTCCAAGCGCGCATGCTAATTAGACATGAGTAATTATGTTGTAGGCACTTACTCAGATCGATTCCTGTCATGTACAGTTTTCTTTTACATGTTGATTCATACTTTAGAACTACACGGCATATTCAACTATTATTAGAGATAGAGTTGTCGGGCCAAAAGGAGGAGTATTGATGTTGTAGGTTAGAGAATTCTACCTAGTAGAGGGTGTGCCAAGCTAGATTTCTTTATGTAGTCCGCATGAGTAGTGCCTTTTGCAACAGAAGCAAATAGTCTCATTAGAACAAATCTCCGAATATCCAAATAAGCATCTTGAAAGCATACCAAGCGCAGACACAAGCGAGCCCCGAAAAAGAAATCAGGGAGAGCAGAGCCGTGCGTTCGATCCCCGGCCTACTGACGGACCCGGCGGTGGCGACACCCCGCTCAGTGGACATCCTGTCAAACGCCGGGATATACTTGAAGGAAAATCTGCTCACGTACCCTAGCCCTCCCTTCGATTTATCTTCTAGGAGCACAGTGTAGAAGACTCTTCGAACGAGCTAGAATTCCATGCATAACCTGCGTAAGCGCCATGCCTTGGAGAAGCACATATGCAAAGGGATGAGGCATTCGGCAAAGTGAGAAAGAAGTATAATGCAGAAAGTGCGAGGGGAGAGGATCGTACGTACATTGATATTGCGCTCGTCGAGCCAGCTGAAGCTCCGGTTGATGTAGCTCAGGGTCGCGAAGAAAAGGCATTGTCCGAAGACGAGGGCCGAGTAGTACACGCTGGGCCGTTCGATCTCGAGACTCGCTGCCAAGTCCCTGCCGTTGAGCCAGTACGTCTGCGCGCACATGAACTCGCGCGAGGCATATGTTGGTGGGCGGCGCTCGAGCCCCGTTATGATGTTGTTCGCGAGGTTGGCCGAGGCCTTCGAGGGCCGGATCTCGGAGATGACGAGCGACTCCATCATGCTCCGCGCGGACTCGGGAGTCGCCATCCAGGCGTGCGGCGTCCCCATGAGGTGCGCTATGTACCGCCAGAGAGCGAGATAGTCGAGGATCTCCTGTCGACGCATGTATATCCCTTGGCGCGGGAGACCCATCCAGATCATGGTTGTCGAGAACGTGTTGATCGTGCCGATACTGTCTAGGTCGTTGATGGGTATGCCATACTTGGATATGTTGTAGTACCCAGGGCGCTGTGATGCCATTTGTAGAATTCGTCGGCGAATGGTGGAGTGAAGCAGGCGAACCCTAATTGTTAAGTCAGTTGTGGAATTTCATGATAAACGATGTCGAGGATCGCAGGAGACTCCCAAGGAAGCAATTTTATCCCTAGGAGAAGGAGTGCTGTAGTGGACATGCTTTACTGACCGCACTGAATTCACGAAGCCATCACCGCCCGGTTGTATGGATTTCAGATCTCGATGGACATTGAGAGTGTGTTGCGTTGTCTCGAGAAGACGGCGGCGCACAACCTTTGCGTCGAAGCCTCCTGTACGGTCGAGCGTTTCGACTGTCCTGGCGCTACCCATGCCACCTAATAGCGATAGAAATGTTAACTGTGTATGTTTTAGTAATCACGAGCAATCTTCCACATCTCGACGCTGAAATTCCAACTTACTGTGCTAATAGCTGGACCACCGTACCGCCAGAATATCTTCTGGCCTCTTTCTATCTGATCCCAATCGACCCATTCTGGAATCGTATGGACTTCGTTCCATAACCTCCCAATCGTCTCATCATTGGAAGCGTATTCTTTCATCAGGCCGTACATATCCCATCGTGGTTTCTTCCCCCCGTTTGTCTTAGCCGTCTCCTCGGTCTCCTCATCCGGGGGTGGGGTTTTGGTATCTGGGAGACTTGCTATCTCGTGTAAACGGTCTACGGCATCTGTGGCAATTTTGTCGTACGAATAGGTTAACGGTTTAAGCTGTTTTGGTGTGAGATGTTTGGACGACCACTTGAATCTCACACCCCAAAAATCCTGCCACGTCCCCTCCACGAAGTTTTCACGGCCGTATGTGCTGGTCATCTTTCTGCTTCTGCAGCACTTCTCACAAGAACTTGCGAACGTGTACTCTAAGCATGCCGATGATCATATAGACGTCCAGAGTTCAAGGACTGTGTGAAATAGTGGCACGTAGTCACACCAGGTCTCAGTGATGATATAATTCAACTTTATTTTTGACGAAGAAGTGTATATACACGGGCATTCAAATGACTTGAAATATAAAAGAAACCAAGACCATCCGTCCAAGTGGGAGAGAATTGGGTGCATACTATTATCATGACAACAAGACCCGATGAAATATACTTTCTTACCAGATAGATAGATCTTGACTAACAAGCCGAGGTAACCTTAGTGCCTTCTCTAGATTTCGCATGTCAGCACATGTGCCGATCGATGATCATGTATGAGAAGGGGATCGTGGGAATAGTAGAAATGACCAAGATGGGAAAGCAGTTCGTGAGCCTTGGTATCTTTGCCAGGGGGCGAACTGGAGTTGCTTCGTTGACGTCGTTGTCTGGTTGGATATTGAAGCTAGAGAGGCCCCATTTGATGATACCACCGTCCCCGCACTGAGAACCCCCGCATTGGCGGACATCCCCTTGGTAAATAAATACTACTGTAGGTACCTCATTAGCTGCAGGCGGCTCCTATCCACTCAGAAGTAGTATCAACATACTTACTTTGTATGTAGCAGCTTTTGCGCCTTTGTCGTTGACGAAGGCACGGAGAAACATCGGCTTCAGTTGTCTCAATCGACTGTTCTGCTTTGAATTGTTAGGACAATCGAGCGTCAAATCAGGCCAGTGAAAAAGAGAAGAAGAAAAAAAAGAAAAGTCGTGGCCATTCCGAGCGTGGACGCCCGCCAGTGACGTAGGTATCCAATACTGCTTGTTGTCTTACCACCCAAGCCACCTATGCTAGGTAGCCATAGTGCTAGAGCAGCAGGACAACTTTAATATTTAAGTACGCTCATGATGGCTATACCTTGACTCTACCTACCCTTTACATACCTCCATGAGCAAGAAAAGATTATACTAAGCCATATAGATCTTAAATGGCTAAGCCATTAATGCAGTGGTTAAATATATGTAGCTTTATTAATATTAACTTTACTTCTTTATATTATTTTATTATACCTTAAAAATATTAGAATTAGCTTTTTTATATATTAATCATTCACCTGTTATTAAATAGTACTCGAACTAAGTAGTATGGTTTGTATCACCTGGGCAAAAGAAGGGGTGACCTGTGACGGCCTGCCTTGGTAGATATGGTAAATATGGTTGAATCTTTAGCGGTGTAGGTAAGTGCTTTGCTTGCCACGCGCTTGCCACGCGCTAATGCGTTTGCTTTGGCAGGAATGGTCGCTATCATTTCAACTCTCTACACACCACACACCTGCCTTCCCAACACACAAGCCCATCCTGTGGATGTTAGAGGTATATGATGAATTCTGCTTTCTCCTTTTTTTCTTGTTTCTTCCTCATGTGGGATTTCCCCAGCATATACAATATATTAAACGATTATATTTGCTGTGTCCTAAGCTACCCATGAAGAATAGCGTACTTGGAGCCATTCAAGGTGAGTGTAACTAATCAATCAACACGAAGAACTGTATGGAATCTAAGATAGAAGACGTTGCATAGCTAACGGTGTTATGGATCATTTAAGGTCATATATAATATATATATTTTTAAGATCAATTTTGAAATATGTTATAAAGTAATGAAAAATAATAAATATAAAAAGAATGTTTTTTTAATATAAAAAATAATTATTAAAATAATAAATTATTAATTAATTTTAAATTAAATAAAAAATTTCTTAAGTTTTAAATTTAAATTAAATTAGGTTTGATGCTGTAGAAAATGCTCCCCACTTTAAAACATTTAGCTTACCACTTCTGTTAATTACAAATGTCTGTAGAACTTCAATAACATCACGCGATGCGACGAGGCGCCGAATATGGCTTCTAATGGCCATATGTCGACCGCGTCTCCCTTACTATCAAATGTCATTGACTTAACCCAAGACGATACCGATACGGATACCGCCGTGAACAAGAATCCAACCCGGTACGATGTTCCCGTTCGTGGTCTACCCTACATCGGTCCTGATTTCAGCCACCCAACACCTAAGATTCATGCAACCGATCAACCGAGAACACCTCGCCAGGACGAAGATGGTGACCGTCCTTCAAAGCGCCAACGGACGGGAGACCTGTCTCCGACATCTAATGGTTTTCAACGGCAGGAGGTTACAGCTGCACTAGAGAAGTGTTTGGATGAGCAGGTCTTTCCATACATCGATCGTGCTGCAGCGGCTGCGCAGCTGTCGCCTGCTAACTATGACCTTGATGGGCTCGGGGCCGAGGTAATTCGGACAGTTGTTAACCGGGATTTTAAGCGGTATTTTCTGGAGGGAAATGGTCGATTGGATAGAAAGACAGAGTCGACTATTGCTGCCGGCATTCACAGACTTGTCATCGAGCTTTCTCGAGTACGTATTCTAGGCAAAGGAGTGTCTCATTGAGCAGGTACTAATGGTTGATATCTAGAAATACCATCGCCTTGCCCCGAAACTATCCTCCACACCTATTGTCAGATCTTCTGACGCTGGTACCGATGCCATTCATGATCGTCTTGCTTCCATATCGGTACCTAAAATTCTGCCCTCCATAGAGAAGGGAGTCGGCTACAACGATGATGATCGTATTCAAAGTGAAAGTGATGATGTCGACGTCGATGTCCAAAACTACAACAGCACGGAAAACAACGATCTTGACGATGGCGATGACCATGGATATGACAGCGACGCTCCTGGTTTCAGTCATGAGGGGGTGGATGAGCGGGATCTATCACATGCCCGTGATGAATTCATGTCACGGGCCGCTGAACATACGCCTCTCAAACATCGCCCGCCTAAAAAACCTGTATTGTCTCCGCAGCAGCTGCGTACCCGAGCGAAAGCGAGCCAGTGGCAGTCTGGGAAAACATATAATTCGATATCAACGGAAACAAAACGTCCTCGCTCATTTGGGCTGTCCTTGCGCCCATATTTATCGGCACTGGAACGGCAGCAAACTATAGCAGGCGTTTCCAAGGCAACTCTCCCTGCCGGCAGGCAGTTGCCTCAGCAGGTGTTTCACGTTGACTTTTGTGATGCTGAAATCTATCATCTTCAGCAACTGGCACGAAAAATCTATGGCAAGCCAAACCCACTGAACCGTCAGAGATCGACACTTCGCGATTTGAGGAACCTTGTGAAGAAGGTACCTAGCATGAAGACCGAGCTGGCTAGAATCCATACCAACAGATATGCCGGTTATGACTCGCCTCCGCTTGTACTCAAAACACGCTCCTCTCGTGATGTCGAAAACTTCCTCAATGACTTGCATTCGAAAAGACTTAACACAATATCATCATCTCTGTTCATAGAGCAAAACAACGAACGTAACTCGATAGCTCAGAGTCAGGCGAACCGGGCCAACAAGATTCCGGCCTTGATGCTGCTGAGGGAGGTTACTGGCAACCGATTAGGAGCCGCCCGAACGTACCAAAATTTCATAACCACTGTCAAGTCAAATCGAGAAGACTATCTTGAACCACAGGTTGAGTGGACAAATTGTGCAGGTGACATTATGACGGTCAGCTGGATATCCGATACAGATTTTATTTGCGGTGCAACCACTCACTCTGATGCACACAATCAGCAATACAACAAGCCTGGGAATCTTTTACTAGGATCTGCTGTGAACAACACCCTACGCGCATATCCAGATCACAGGATTATCCGTCCAGTTGTGTCTAGCGGTGACAATGCACTAGAATCAATGGTTGCAAGCCAGGATCCGTGGCTTTTTACATCTGTGGTTTCGTCTGATTACGACCCATCGTGTGGCCTAGCCTTTACATCCAGTTTCGACAAGACAGTAAAAGTTTGGAAACCTGAAAATGATTCGGTGACAGCAGTGGGAACCTGGAATCACGATGGTCGCGTGAACTTTGTCGTCGCGTCAAAAAATGAAATGCACACTGTCGCGACAGCTGCTGATGTTCCGACAGAGGCTGTAAGAGTTTATCATATTGAAAATCCGAATGTCGATGAACCGGACTTCTCCAGTAGTCGATATGATTCCTACTCATGCACAAGAGTGCATGACGAAGATTACGTCCCTTCTGAGAAGTGGGCTTACTACCCAGCCGCCATCCGATGGGGATTGGCATTGGAAGTTAAACATCTGTTACTTATCGGCTACTCGCCAAGGAGCCCAACTGGGGAAGACCATGAGATACCAGAGGATAAGCGCAACTCTGGCGAGCTTTGCCTCTGGGACACTAAGTCTAGGACCCAAGTCAAAGTAAGCAGCGCTAAGACTCAAAATGTATTCGAAGTCGTGTGGCACCCCTCGCGTGCTAGTTTCGCAGCTGCTACTTCAGCGTCTCAGGTCTTGGAGAAGACGGATCAGACAATTCGGACACAAATCCGAATTTTCGAGTTTAACGTAGAGACGGGCCAGTATGGTGCTATCAAAACTCTAGACTGTCCGGCTATCGACGTCAATGAATTGTCTATAATGTAATATTGTCCCCTTTCCCTATAAGCAGTGGTGGCTAACAGGAGAGCAGGCCCAACAGCCTTCTTTATTCGTATATAGCAGCTAGCTGCACAGACGGCAAGGTCTATGTGTGGGACTCAGCAGCGAGCGACTTGTCTATGTGTGTCCTAGAGCACGGAGGTAAGTTCTAACATCTTAACAACCAAGTGAATGGCCGCTAAAAGTAGCCCCCAGCTCCTATCGAGGAGCTTTTAGGAGAAAGGGATGAGGAAGATGTTGGCGTCAAGTTCGCGGCATGGGCAACTACTCCCGATCGTCTATATACGGGGTCGTCTGACGGCGTAGTCAAAGTCTGGAATATTCGACACGGCCAGGGTGTCCTAGTTAAGGACCTTATGGAGGCTTCGGCTCCTATCACCTATGGGGCGTTTTCTCCGGATTTTACCAGGTTAATCATTGGGGATGGGAGCGGGCGAGTTTACCTACTCGCATTAGAGGATACTGAGGATGAAGATCCACCACCCAATCCCACAGGTCCTTCTGCTGGCTTCTTGAGTGTGAAGACGAGCAGTGGTAACGAGCGAGCCGTTCGACGCCCGCGACCATTTATACCTCATCCCGAAGTACCACCTCCACATACGCTTATGGAGGGCCAGGAAACTGCTAGGGGATATTTACAAGATGCTCAGATAGTGCTCCATTCGAATCCGACAATTGGTGCCATTAAAGGCGTCAACTACGCAGCAACTGGCCTATTCAGACTCGAAGCACACGTGAATGAGGATTCAAACGAACCCCTATTAGCTAATTTTCAAAGCAAGCAACAAGAAGCACAGCCAGATTCTATCAACCCGAAGCTACCACGGCAGCTAGAGCAAATAGACGAAGGCCTTGTTAATGGTTGGCACGATAATCAGTCAGCTGGTCGATTAGCTCAGGGGGGCTCCGATAGCAATGACGACGACGATAGTAACCCAAAGCCTAATTATCCAGATTTCCTCGATCATGCTACTTATTTAGCTTTAATCAAGGAAAAAGCCGAGCTAGACGATAGCCTTGTCGAGCTCCAATACGAGACTAGTATTGCAGACAGTGACGAGGATGACGAAGAAGATGATGATAATACCGCTGTGTGATGATGACCGCCGCGACTATTATGAGGCGAATAAGCAACTCATTGTTTGGTCTTTAATATGTAACACTGCATTCGGAGGGATTCGATTTCTTCTTTCGGCATATTGAAGAGGATAGCGGTTCGATATCCTAATATTATTACAACCTACCTATGTATTAAACCAGGTGCGTTAAGTTATGGATTTAGTAAAGCAGAGCAGAGCAGAGCATAGAAACATAATACATTCATGATTGACAGCATATATTAACTATGTGCATTATTAAATATCTTACTTTAATTAACTTAGTTAAATGTTTTAATTATTATTAATTATTAAAGCAATTTAAAATATTAATTATATAACTATAATTATTAACTTAATATAAGTTAATTAAACATTTTTAATATTATATTTATTTTTTAAAAAAAATTTAACTTTATATAATTAATTAATAATTAAGCTTAATTGAACCTTATCCCTTTAGCTTCCAATTTACCTCTATGACATTGCTGACCGAGTCTTAATCATATGTTATATTTCTTCCTACCATTATTAATAGATCAACATCATCTGTGACGATGTCACAGCGTACGTACGACCGGACTGTACGGTGCTGACCTGTCAATATAAGCTAAGGTAGTAAGCCGGGCTGACGGCTTATTATCCTGTATCCTTTTGACCCAAAGACCGTGGCACAGTTGGTTAGCTTACAGCTGCGTACGTTACATCATCGATACCTAGATCTTTCCTTACAGCAGCATTAAGACTGATGTAGCAATTTGTACTAGTAGTCATCTATTTGAGGGTAATACAAGTGCAAGAAGTTTCTACGGTTCTGATTGGACATTTTGAAGTCTTGGCAGGTCACGGAGGTGAATTGGAAGCCAAAGGGATAGTTGTGACGAATGCGTCACTGACCGTATGACCTAACTGTACATGACCTGTCAATATAAGCCTAGGTGTTAAGCTATACATACAGCTTAGCATCCTGTATCCTTTTGACTTGGACCGTGGCGCAGTTGGTTGGCTTACAGCTGCGTGTGTTACAATAATGATTCAATCCTTAATAAATAAACACACCTATTGAGACCTACAGGGTAGCTTATGCCAATTGGGCTAGATAGGTTTCACACCACTCAAATGTCAGAAAAACGAACTCAAATTTAGACTTTAATTAACGGGCTCTAGCACTTAGTCATTGCGAATAGCCTATCGTGTGATCTGAATATGAACTGAAGAAGAGAAAATAGAGGGTGCGTGATAGACATCCTCTAGCTATCCGGCACCAAGTTTCCTTGGTCGATTTTCACTGCCATTTAGCAATGTGCCCCTTGTCTTGTTAAGAACATGGCGGCCGTGAATCATGTACCTCAAGATCAACCCAAGATCTGGCTAATGCGAATCCCCCGGAACGCCAATCCATGCAACCATACAAAGGATTAGTGCTGCCAAACAAATACAATGCAAATAACCATAAAGTAAAACCATGTCCCCGCGATCGGTGCCATGGTAAGAAAAATCAGCTGCGTTGTAGCTATGCCCGACGACACTAACCGGCGGCGTTATACTGGTCCGGAGCAGGGAAAGAGAAACCCGGTGGGAAGACCGGCATCCCATTGGGGCCTGTTCCTATGCCAAATGGGAACTGAGACACTTCTGACTGACCTTGGGACTGGTCATTGAAGGTGCCGCTGTCCTGGTGATTGTCTCTTTTGCCCCGCCAGCGGCCCATGTCATCCTCATCGCCACCTCGGCTGGACTTTGGGCCATGTCTACCGCCTTTATCAGTTTGCATACGTCGACTGATAGCCTTTGACGATACACCAGCACCAATCTCAATATCAGGCTCTTCAACAACAAGACCCGTCTCGATTGGTCGGCCGCCGCTACCGCCATATTCAGCAGTTAACATCCATTTCCTATCAGCTTCGGTTAATTTCGAGATGGGAATGACGCTGATGCCGGTTTGGTAATCGCTGCAATCACGCGGACCGAAGCCCACTCCCCAGCGGGTCTATGAACAAGTTAGAAACTATCCATCTCAAACGATGCTCGGAGGCCTCGACTTACTCTGAAGTTACCAGTCTCCATTGCATCCTTGGCGCGAACAGCATCCCTCCGGGTGACCATCTTGACGAAGGCATGTCGCTTATCTTTATTAACAATGCAAGTTTGCACGTGGCCGTGGCGGCCAAATACCGACCGGAGCTCGGCCTCGGAGCACCTGTAATAAGCGAGTAAGCCACTTAGCCCAAAACGTTTCTTGAGGGAGGAATTGCTTACGTCACACCTCCAACAAAAAGGGTTCTGCTCAATACTATCATGTTGTTAGCGGTAATATCGGACTTAACCATGTCTACGGAAAACGTACCCTTAATATGACCCTGTGGTAGGTCTCGGTCAAAATCAACCCATTTAGGGCCATTAGGATGAGGGAAATCCTGGGGAGGGCTTGGGCTACGGCCACGACGACCCGGTGGACTACGTTGACGGTAATCCGCTCCTCTACCACGCCGGTCACGGTCGTCCATGCGGCCACCGCCAGGCGAATCAGAACCGAATCCACCATAGTCACGACGTTGGTCCCAATGACGCGGCGGTGAGCGCGATCTTGATCTATCGTGGTATCTAGGGGATCTCACTTGGTTGAAGCTACGATCACGTGACTCATCTGGCCGGAAGCCATCTTGACCCCAGTGACTACCATAAGGTTGTTGGCCTGGCTGAAGCTGAGGCTGCGGAGTCATGGAGGGTGGGGCAGACGGTGCTACAGCAGCACCCGCACCACTGCCATTTTGTATTCCTGCTATAATCAAAGGTATTTTATCCATAGGGACCCCTTGGTCCGACAAAACCTTGATCAGCATTAATTGCTGTTGGAGATTAGGGTCTACGCCGCCAGCTGTGGCCACCGGTGGTGCACCCGGAGTAACGCCAGGGAACCCGGAAACTTGATTACTTGCAGTCACCGGAGGTACAAAGGGCTGGGCCTGAACAGGAGCCTGAGGCTGTGTCTGCGGGGGATACTGGTATGGCAAATTAGGAACATTTAAGGGGTGCACCACTGCCGGAAAGGCGGCTGGAGTGGGAGTCGTGGATTGACTCTGTGTTGTTTGTAACGCGGGCTGCTGTGCTACGGCGCTCTGCTGTGTCAGTGGTAAACTGAAAGGAGTAGCGGCCGCAGGAACAGAGACGCTCGCCGGCGGAGCAGTGTTGTTTTGTCGAACAATATTCGCGAGAGCCTCCATGATGTCATTTGGGGCTTGAGTAACAGATGGTTTGACCTCGGACAAACCTGGAAGGCCAGCGCCTGGAGGGGGAGTACCCTTAGGCGTCGTGGACTCATCTAAAGGAAACAGATATCAGATATACGAACTGGCATGAATACACGAGGCATCCAAAATCTAGTAATGTTTTCAACAGGAATCAGAAGACCTACTCTGAGGGACTGCGGGAGCAGTGAGCTTCTGCTTGAATGATTCAATCATAGTCATGGGGAACGTTTGACCCTTTTCCCAGATATCAACGAGCTTCTTAATTTTCTCCTACTCGTAAAGGTTAGGTAAGTGCATGTTCAGATTCATCAAAGTACGAAGTCCGAGGCTCTATGAGAACAAAGCCGGTAGCTGTTGGTTCAAATGCGCCAAAAGCTCGCTAGGCTAGCTGGCCATCGGGGCGACATCAAAATTACAAGTTTGCAATACGGGATGTGAATATGCGATCTTAGATAGAGCGTACCTTTTGTTCTCCGGGGGCATTCTGAATTATGTCATTCATCAGGACTGGAAGCAGCTCCGTTACTCTATGAACGCCGGCAGCGTATGTTCCATCTTGCGCAGAACTATTGATGGGTTGGCCTTGTTGTTTCGCCTGATCGACCCATTTGCGAGTTACGGAATCTACGACATAGAGTACTCCCAATTTGTGCGTGGCCGGGGCCTTCTTAAAGTGAGTGTAGATTTTCTGAATAAGTACAGACTCGGACTACAGCAGAAACATTGCGGTTAGTATAGACTGAAGCGGTAGCGAGCGCCGGATACGATGACCTATAGCTTACCTGGACGTTGTTCACGCAGAGAGCGGTTAGTGCGTTGATACGAGACCCAGATACTCCGGGAGGCTTCAGGTTCTGCATGGCATTCAAGCCCGCCTCTAATTCTGCTACTGCTGACGACATGATGGCTCTTCAGCTATCTCTTGACTACTGGCGACGAGAGGCAAAATACGCAGCTAGACAAGAATAGAAGTATCGCTAGGTCTTGCAGAGGGCCAACGATGACTTAGATCTGCGTTGGTTATCACCTAGATGAGCAGAGATCTTCTAGCACGCGCCTGACTACTAAATATGAGGAAATGTACGAGGACACTTGGTAGAGTGTTGTTACAGCCTGGAGGATCAAATCTACCGTGAGTGGCTTTGTTGTCGCAGGATAGGCTGCGCAGACTCCAGAGGTTCTCGTCGAGTAGTCTCACGAGAGATGAAAGTCGGATACGAACAGATGATGCGCGCTAGGCTAGAATGTCTAACGACAGCGAATCAAAGAACCAGCGATGGGGGGGTTTGGTGATGTAAGATTGACTACTAAGCCCGCTCGTCAAGCCAAAGCAAAGACTTGCCGTGGGAGGATATAGGATGGATAGGGTTGAGGGTCTAGAAGTGACTGTGTCTGAGTGGGTATTAAGCAAAGGACAAATAGGTGAGTCAACAGGCAGTAGCAGCAGGATGCGCGCAAGAACGCAAGGCTCTGTGCCTGTCTCTGTTGGTGATGGTGTCGCAAGGGTGTCTGTCGTAAGGCAGTAGCGAGGGTGTCGGCGATAGCGGTGTGGTTCGCGGTGGTATTATTGCTACGTGGTATCGTCAAGGCGACAGCTGTTGATGGCAGCAGCGATGGTGAGTGGTGAAGGGATGATTGATGATGGGAAGGATGGGCGTGGGCGGCCGCAGGATGGGATGGGGTGAAAAGCGAACAGCGGTTGAAGAAATAAGAAGATGAGGGGAGGAGAGTCGGTGGGTTTCTGTACTGCGCACGCGCTGCAGAGAATTCTGCTTTCTTAGGTAATGTGGAGCGGGAACCACGGTAGTTCCTCTAGATACTTAGGTAGGTACCTAGGTTAACCATTGTCGTATACTAACCACTGTCCTAAACTATCCAACAGCTGGAAAGTCTGGCTGGGACGCTTGGATAGGCTTCTGCGCACCTAAACTAGCCAATCAAAAGCGACATTTCTTAGCCTCTCGAAACCTTACCTAAGTAGTACCCGGGTAGGTATTCGATACCTACAGGAAGTACTATCATGTACCTACCTACTGGAGGTAGACCTTACTTACTTAGGTTGTATGGGTAGGTAGATATGGGCATACCTTACCTAATCTTGGAAGGTATTGTATCTGACTTGGAAGATTCTAAGACAGTTCGAACCTTGAAAAACTTGATAATGACTGAACCATGGCGTTAAGGTGATTTGGGGAGGTATGTATTAGGTAGCTAATAGCCAGGCAGCTTCGAGCACCTGGTTGACTTCCATTCTAGCGGCAGTGTATCTTTACTTAGACGCTCTGTGCTCCTCGGCTGTTACAATGGTCTCAGGAATGTTCGGCTGAAAACCCAGTGCTAAGTATCAGACATACATATAAAGTGTCTTGCCTCAATATTTCTCCGAAGGGCACTTTCTTCAGGTCTAGGATCGGAACCTACCTACATACATGTCCACTATGAATGTGCCCAACACCAAGTCAGGTATAGTAGTATGTTTACTCGGGTCAATTGAATGGGATACTTTGACGCTATTTCATCTCGACTTGACGTTGGCTTCTATAATGGTATTTACCATATTTCGACCCAAGCCATGAGAGTGATCGAGACGGAGAGACATCTTTACGGGTTGCTCGGCAGGCCTTAAAACAACCGCCGATTTTACCAAGGATAAGCCCGGGCCAGTGATGCAATCTGGCTTGGTAGGGCAAAGTACCTACATGTACCTAAGTAGGGCACTCGCCTAAGCTACCTACCTACTACGGTAGGTATGGTAGTGCTGTTAGTACCGACTCTGCACTGAGGTAAGGGCAGTCAGGGCATCCTCAGGTCCGAACCGCGCCTGTATCCCAGAACCAAGATCTCCAATTGGCCGAGTGCTTCCCCATCAAGCCCGACTCCTACCGCATCTCCTAAATGTTCCTGAGCTATTTCTACAATAGCTTTTTTTCTTCCTCTCCCATACTCTCCATTCCGCTTTGAGCGTCCATTCGCCAATCCCCTACTGTAGTCTGTCTTGCCAATCTGCAGCCTTGCATCGTCTTCTCTCCGAATCGTATCATGGCTTCTGCACTGCGTCTAAGCTCCTCCGCCCTACGGACCTCGCTCAAGGCCCCCGGTTTTGCCTCGCGAACCACTGCCTTCAACGCTGCGCGATGCTACTCGGCTAAAACTCAGGTATGCCGTTTCCTCGACAACCCCTCCCCATATTGCCACTAAAGATCTGTGTTGTTGTTGTGGTTGTTGCTGTTGACTGACGCCTTGTTGCCCGCTTAGACCCTCAAGGAGCGCTTCGCCGAGCTGCTCCCCGAGAAGATTGACGAGATCAAGACGTTGCGAAAGTAAGTTGCCCCTCCACCGCGTGATTATTGACATGTTGCTTATTGTTCGTGCAGAGACCATGGCTCCAAGGTTGTCGACAAGGTCACCCTAGACCAGGTTTACGGTGGTGCCCGAGGCATCAAGGCCCTCGTCTGGGAGGGCTCTGTCCTCGACGCTGAGGAGGGTATCCGTTTCCGTGGCAAGACCATTCCTGAGTGCCAGGAGGTTCTCCCTAAGGCTCCCGGCGGCAAGGAACCTCTTCCCGAAGGTATGTGTAATCAGAAACTCTCAATTACGACGGGCGCTAATTTTCCAAGGTCTTTTCTGGCTGCTCCTGACTGGTGAGGTTCCCACCGAACAGCAGGTTCGTGACCTGTCAGCCGAGTGGGCTGCCCGATCCGATATCCCCAAGTTCGTTGAGGAGCTCATCGACCGCTGCCCGACCGACCTCCACCCCATGGCACAGTTCTCTCTGGCCGTTACCGCCCTCGAGCAGACCTCATCCTTTGCCAAGGCCTATGCCAAGGGTATCAACAAGAAAGAGTACTGGGGATACACCTTCGAGGACTCTATGGATTTGATTGCCAAGCTCCCCACGATTGCCGCTCGCATCTACCAGAACGTCTTCAAGGGTGGCAAGGTTGCTCCCGTCCAGAAGGACAAGGACTACAGTTTCAACTTCGCCAACCAGCTCGGCTTTGGTGAGAACAAGGACTTCATCGAGCTCATGCGTCTATACCTCACGATTCACACTGATCACGAGGGTGGTAACGTCAGTGCCCACACCACTCACCTTGTTGGCAGTGCCCTGAGCTCTCCCTTCCTCTCGCTCGCCGCTGGTTTGAATGGTCTGGCCGGCCCTCTACACGGTCTCGCCAACCAGGAGGTGTTGAACTGGCTCACGGAGATGAAGAAGTCCATTGGCGATGACCTCAGCGACCAGAAGATCAAGGACTATCTCTGGTCTACCCTCAACTCTGGTCGTGTCGTTCCTGGTTACGGCCATGCCGTCCTGCGCAAGACCGACCCCCGTTACATGGCTCAGCGCACCTTTGCTCAGGAGAAGATGCCCAACGACCCCATGTTCCAGCTCGTCAGCCAAGTATACAAGATCGCCCCTGGTGTCTTGACTGAGCACGGCAAGACCAAGAACCCCTACCCCAACGTTGATGCTCACTCGGGTGTCCTTCTACAGTACTATGGTCTAACCGAGGCCAACTACTACACCGTCCTCTTCGGTGTGTCCCGTGCCATCGGTGTGCTTCCTCAGCTCATCATCGACCGTGCCGTCGGTGCCCCTATCGAGCGCCCCAAGAGTTTCTCCACTGCCAAGTGGGTCGAGATCGTCAAGAAGCTGTAAATTTGTCTAAAAAGAAAAGAAGACTTGGATTGCTGCTGTTTTTGTTAGTGCGGGGCACAGGCTACATTATAGACGGTCGAAGGGTGGCGCTGTATCAAAAGGGGGCGTTGTATTAGAGACTGTCCCTTGATGATACCAAAAGCTGCGCTTGTACATTAGTATATCACGATTATGCGTTTAGGATGTAACGTTCATGGTAGTCGCATGACCACAAATACTATGCAATTTGTATGAAAGACATTTATGTTGGCGGTATATTTGTTTCAATGATGAACTAGATTTCATGACAATTTCCACTGGTCTAGGTTTCTAGTTTGTCAATTATGTACCGTTTCTACCACCCATCTGTATCAGCCTTTGGCACAAGGCCAGCATAAACTGGTATAAATGTAAAATTTCTTGTCAATATTAGGAGAATATGAACAAAGTTTTCCTAATGTTCTCTCCCAGCCGGTCAAAAAATTCATAAGCTCTTCTTTCTTTCTTTAACTTTCAGCCCAGCAACGCTTCATCAGCTTACCCACGAACCTTTTCAGGTACATAACAAGCCTCGATCCAGATGTATGTCTTGCTTCAGTACCTTAGCCGATGCTGTGTTCTTTTTTACATTGTCATTACGACCTCACTATGGTGAGTGCCGGGAGCCATTCTCATGGTCTATCTTAACATTCTACATGTTACTCTTATAACAAAATGATCGCCAGGCGATCATAGATATCGATGAGTAATAACCCAGATTGCGAATGTTTACCATCCGATTGTGTATCTCCCTCCAAGTCATGGAGTTGTAAGTATGTCGGCGGTCAGCCGGTCAACGGCTCTCTCAACACGTGGGGTCTAGTCCTAGAACGAACCCGGGACACTGCACAAATAGCTACATAGCAACGAAATATGTAAAATTACATAAGCGGTGAATGGTATATTACCCACAAAGGCGTAATAATCCCAGCGCTCTTACAACAATTGAATCTGTTTTAGTTAGGGTCCGTGTATAAGGCCGCTCAGGCTTTCTGCTCCCAGGGGTCTGGGTGCTGGTATACTACTTTTGGGGGAAGTCCGAAATGTTGAGCGCCGATAGCGCGGATAATATGGGCCCTTGGCGGATAAGTTGGGACGGAATTGCGATGAGATGAGATGAGGTAAGGCGAAAAAGAGAGCTTACTGTGCCGGCCGTACTACCTTTGGCTTAGCTGCCGTTGAGGAAGGAATCGATCAAAAGATGATAGGCATTTGCCAATTGTCTGGTGTCGAAAGAAATTCTCGCTCGTTACCCGATTTTACATTTGTGAGTGGTGGTATGGGCGGGGATCCTCGTCTACATTCCTACCTACCTACATATATTGGCCGACTGGCGGGACGTGCAGGTACATGGATGGAGCTCAACGGGCGCTATCATTTTGAAATCAGATCCCTACCTACTTACAACAAGTTTACACATTACTTATCAGTTGTAGTATTAATAGTGAGCAGATAGGCCGGGCTCGGCCGGGTAGTAGGTACAATAGATAGCGGTATACTCCGTACTACCATATATAATTACCTATGTAGACGAGGTAGTTACACGTACTTCGTTGATTTGTCGGTAAATTCCAGGCCTTTGAACATGGGTAGGTGCACAGGTAAATACACTACACAATAGAGTAGGCAGGGCAGATAGGGTTAGGTCTGATATGGAATCATATACTCCTCGCCGATTATCACCATTTCACGATAAAGAAGAGTTGGTTGTGCTCGGGTTTCGCATGCGCCAACATCCAACATCGCAAGTCGGAGGTCCCTTAGCGCAGGACCACCAGAGGGCAATGGGGTTCGGATGACTGCGAGGTGTACGGTAGCATATGATGGCACATGTTCCGAGCTGCCTCGAGTTCTTACCGTCACGTACTATGTAACCGTGGCTGCTCGGTACACGTCGGTAACCTGCCCGGCCTGTGAGTATGCGAGTCTCGGTGGCCCGACGTGCCAATCAGGCTACCTGTCCTGGAGACCCGCTCAAGATAATTAGCCTTCTCCATGTGGAATAGATCGGGAAGCTAACCAATTAGGCACATGTGGACTTCTGTCCCTCAGCTTGGCGTCCCCCAATTCTGCCCCATAGCAGAGCTCATACAGAGCCCATACAGCCCACTGTTCACTGTCCGTTGCCCGCTGCCCCCACTAACCCTGGAGTTGCTAGAGCTTACCTACTGTACACTCTCGCAACATTTATTCCCGTCAGCCTCACGATACAAAGAGCCAGCTTTCCTTTGCCTCTTCCATCAACCAAACACACCCTTCATTTTCCCATCCATCTCCGGATTTTCCCTCTCCTCCTCGCGACGAAGCACCCGATTGCCTTGGTCAGGCCCCCTTCCCCAGTTACGACGACGAGTTATGTCCGCTGCTACTCCGGCCGGTATGGCGCCTCCTTTGACGGAGAAGAAGCTTGAGAAGAAGCCCATCAAGTTCTCCAACTTGTTGCTTGGCGCCGGTCTCAACCTTTTCGAGGTCACCACCCTCGGACAACCTCTCGAGGTCGTCAAGACCACCATGGCCGCGAACCGAAGTGACAGCTTTGGTAACGCTCTCGGTCGCGTCTGGGGTCGCGGCGGTCCCCTTGGATGTAAGCGCCATTTCTTTTCTTATCTCTGCTCACCGCCATCCGCACACCACACATCACTCAGTATCGCTGTGTCATCTTGATAAGGCAATATGACCTTCCATCAAAGTCACAGAATGCGCCACATGATCCAATTCGTCGCTGACCTTGCTACCCCTCCGTAGTCTACCAGGGATTGATTCCCTGGGCCTGGATCGAGGCCTCGACCAAAGGCGCCGTGCTGCTTTTCGTCGCTTCCGAGGCCGAATACTACGCTCGGGCTGCTGGCGCTTCCGAGTTCGGTGGTGGAATTTTCGGTGGTGTCGCCGGCGGTGTCGCCCAGGCTTATGCCACCATGGGCTTCTGCACCTGCATGAAGACGGTCGAGATCACCCAGCACAAGATCGCTGCTGGCGGCGCGAAGCCCCCCAGCACCTTCACTACGTTTATGAACATCTACCGAAAGGAGGGTATCCGCGGTATCAACAAGGGTGTCAATGCCGTGGCCATCCGCCAGATGACCAACTGGGGATCCCGCTTCGGTCTGTCCCGTGCCGCCGAGCAAGGTATCCGCCGTGTTACCGGCAAGGAGCACGGTGAAAATCTCAGCATAGCCGAGAAGATCCTGTCCTCGACCATCGGTGGTGGTCTCTCTGCCTGGAACCAGCCCATCGAGGTTATCCGTGTGGAAATGCAGAGTAAGAAGGAGGATCCCAACCGACCCAAGAAGATGACGGTCGGAAACACTTTCAAGTATATCTATGAGACGAACGGACTTAAGGGTCTGTACCGCGGCGTTACCCCGCGTATTGGTTTGGGCGTTTGGCAAACGGTTTGCATGGTGGCCCTTGGCGATATGTGAGTTTCACTTGGCCCGTTTAGCGAGATTCCTCTTGTTTGTGGATACAGACTTACTAACGTGCTTATCTCGGAAAATAGGGCCAAGGCTTATGTTGAGAAGATCACCGGTGACAAGGTCACCGCTAAGCATTAGATGGCGTTTTAGACGGGATTTGCTCGGGCTTTTTAATGGGACACCGATAACAAAAAACATGAGGGAACATATAAAGGGAACGGGATTTGCTTAACTTGCAAAGATAGACTTTTTTTTCTCTGCTGTTATGAGGATCTTGTTCTTCTTGATTTACACTTCTTTTGAATTATTTGGAAGCCGAAGAAACCTGTGAGCCAATTCAACATGACATCATTCTGTTTTGGAGATTGGGGGGAAGGTTTGGCTTTTTATGTTCACGATTATTGATGGAGGCTTTTTCTGCTATGCCTTTGACAGTTTGGGACTCGGTGAACTCCCGCAATTGAATGAGACTTGAATGTCCTCGCTTCTATATGTGTTTTGACTGGTGACTGTCTTGGCTATGAGATATGGTGATACTTACGGATAGACATATATCCAATTCAACATGCTTCGGACTTAGGTAAATTATGATATTGTTTCCTTCGCCTCATGGGGTCGCAACACATGGTGGATATGAGGAATTGTCGCTAACGTGCTGATTGAGCTATGCTTGATACCCTTGAGTTTCTTACTATTGTGGTGAATTGTTCGGTGTACTAGAACAATGTAGTATATTGTCAGTTTCAGAGTAGGATGCCACTGGAACACATGGTACGTGTTTTCTAGAGGAATAGTTCCTTCTCGTATTGATTGAGGGTTAAAAGGTAGGTTTGTGGTACGAGTGACGTATACATTACCACCATCAAGAATTGAAGAGTAGGCATCGTTCGTGAATGGAGGTTTGAGGCTTGATTTTAGACACGAGAGATTTTCAACTAGAGGATTGAGATTTTGTTCGAGCTATTGCTGGGGATGACGTGCTCCTCGGACGGGCGTTAACCATGACTTGAGATACTGCATTCCAGGCTCAATGAAGTCGTTCATTCGGTCTTGTGAGATAGATGTCGGGCAAGGCGTAAACGCGTGATTGATATAATGGCATCGACAAGGCGGGAAAGTAAGAATATTACATGGATTAGTAGACTTAGATATACATCAACCAATACGCACAGAGTTGTCAGTGGAAGCTGATGCCTAGTAGTACATGGTCTCTCTCTAGTCTTTGAGACTAGCAGGTGGCCTCGCTCGAAGAATGATGGCAATTGGCTAACGCGCCTGGGTTTTGATCGTGCGGTTTGCAAGTTTGAGCGCTCCTGGGTGAGCTCTTTCTACAATATCAACGAGCTTGCTGTATATCCTCTGCTCTGTCTTGTTTTTACCTCTGTGTACCGTCTCTTGGCGTGAAACAAGTTCGGAAGCAGTTCTGGACTCGGTGATAGATCGGTAGGTACCAATCCTCGCAGCAAGAAGACTTCTATTTCCGTATACCATTTCGACGGGGTCGCCCATGAGTATCCCCCTAGTCATACGAACCTTGAATACTCAGAATCAACTTCGAACAGAACCCACGAATCCATCATTAGCCAATTATCATCACTCATTGAGATTAATATGGGATTCTGGGGGTCGTAAGACGTAGAACCACGGAAATAGCTGTGGCAGTTGTGCGCCGCACGGTAACTTGCTATTCCTTTTTTTAAAAAAAATTTTTAAAAAAAGGCTAAAAATACAGGAGTTCGCGGGATATTTTGATGGGCTCTCGGTGATGATGGTGTATGGCACTGGTATAAAAACTGACAGTAACGCTGAATACCAAAGAAACTGGATGTCGTCCATGCGTCGACACGACTTAGGCGAGGTGGGTAAACCGAGTTGAAATTTCAAAAGCAGTACACAGCTGAGAGTCCCTTTGCTAGTCAGGAGCCAAAGTCGAGACCTTCGTTGTGCCATCAATCTATATAACTCGTTGGCTTCCTGCTCTACGACGAGAGTGATTTGAATTTATAAGCAATATTTGCCTTTCACGTCGGGGATATAACAATAACAAACGTGGCGAGCTGAGATTCGGGATAATATTAACGTTTAGCAACAGCAAGTGGTAACTAACTATTTTAGTTCGAAATTTTATGAAATATTAGCTCATGGGTTAATTAAGCACTCAGAGTGATCGAGATAATACTGGGATTCTCTCGATGGTTTACCTATTAGGAATCTGTGCAATGGGACCTGAGGCTGTGAATAGCTCATGTCTAACTGTTCATAATTCGTTGAAGTCCTCCAAAGTTCGTACATAAAAGTTTGCGTATGCTTAGCCCTATCCACGTCGCGATTTCAATCTAGAATGTAAGCAAAGACATGCTATACGGAGATTCACCTTCTGTCATGTAATATCTCGTGAAAGTCTACTTGGAACCGGCCAAGGAGGGTTTCTTTGTTGCCTGTCTGTACGGTAATTGCAACCTTAGCTCGTGACAGACATGAGGCAATCTCCAAAATTCGGTTCTTAATATCGGGACAGTCATTTTGACGATATAGTCATATATTCGATATGTCAGGTCGCCGGTAGTATGATCGTGGGGGACAGTGGCTGGTAGTAGCTGAATATAACATACTTAATATGGCTTCAAGTGTTAAAGAGAAGAGGTCGTGATAACTCAGTTGTTCTTTAGACAGCAATACTATATAATTTTTGACGAGGAAATAAAATAAGTGCTGCACATTGACTCGATACCGCTATGACATGTTTAGGAAGAATTCGTTTCTCATTTGATCGTGTAAATGAAACATGTGGACAATAGATTTACTTCTTCTAACTACGATTTCACTTCCAATTGAGCATCAAGTGTGAAATAAACTGAATGTAACGAAGATGTGAAGACTAGAGAAGAGTGTTTCTTCCGTATTAGAAGTACTCGTTCCGCTCAACCTCGATTATCGAAATTGGAAAGAGTTAGTTATCCTAGTTACTATGAATAACACCTCTTCGTGTTTCGTTGCCCCGACCAAGGTCCTGTCCAGAGGTTTTCCATCAGAACACTCTATTCATACCAGTCGGCTCGTTGGTAGGCTTATGGCACACTCTATACGCCTAGGTGTGTGGCGGCATTGAGTGCCTGAAGATATAAGTAAAGATCAGACCAGCCTCACGAGAAGTATGCCACACTGGCGAGAGAGCCTTAGAGATTGCCGTGAAATATTTGCAGACACTAAGGCTTTGGGCGTCACGGTCACCTTTTCCAACGTAGATAGCTCGAGAATCATTGTAGAAGAAAACACACTTACACTTACCTGATCATATCATGCTTCTAACAGACACGAGAGAGCTACCTGAACATCTTCCATGTACGTAAACTCACGAGGATATGATAGGCGTAATCAGCTTGAAATCATATAATTGATATGATCTTAGATATAGACATCGTGTCAAATAGGATTTCCCATGTCTGCAGAAGTGCTTCACTCCTTGCTCAAAGTCAAGCACCAGTGACATTGGAAATACTGTATATCACAGTGCTCCGCAAGATACATTGAGATGGACCTCTTGAAAGTATTCATGCTGAATGAAGCATCAAGTCGAGGAATTTATGCTCTGCTCACCCTACATACAGGGCTACTTAATACTCATGTTTCTCACGGCTCCTATATCCAGTCACTTGCCAGGCTGAGGACCAGACTCGTTACACTACATGGCTCAAGTTCCAGCTTAGACCCTGATAGTCAAAACAAGCGACATAAAATACACATCATGACAATTGCGGGCGATGCGAGACGAAGGATAGGCATATGGGGGGTTGATTGTCGTCGGCAGCGAATCCATGCAACCTGTCTTATGATACATATCCCCAAAATGTCTCGCGAGTGCACTGGTAGCTATCTATCACTTGTAACATATTGTTCAGAGCAGAAATTCGCTCATCGACGACAACAAACTGTTTCAAACCATTCTCAATCCGTCCTTACCACTACATATTACCAAATAAAGGGAAGAGCATATGAGCGATCAATCAATCATCCTGAGATGAATCAACATGATGTTCATTGTCTATTTGGCTGCGGACCGTTTCACGGCTCGCATGGGCTTTCGTCGCCCTGTTTTACATGTTCCCAGGACCGGGGCAGCTCAGCTCAGCTCTACATACTCGACGTAGCATTGTCCTCACAAAATGGCGATCAATTGCCGATTCACGACCAGGTATATACAAGGTAGACTGCCATGCTTCAGTGCATTCAATGATATAGCCGTCTATCCTTACCTACTCGACCCAACATACCCGGGAGCAGTAGCACACTTACGCTAAAACGCGCTTCAGAGTGAACCCTGCAGCAAATTCGACAATACCTACCTGCACTACCAATCCTAACCGGGCCGCGTACGTTTCTGGAGGGTCGAACTAAGGCCGCACTACACCGCACTATAGTACATGTAAGCAGATAGGTAGGCCAAAGAAAAAAGCTTGTGGTTAATGATTCTTCCACTTCAGTGACCTTGTTCTTCTGTCTCTGTCGTCACGCCACCGCAATCCGGGATAAACGTGGCTCAGACAAGCCAAGCCCGAGCCTCGTAAGCCGGGACTGACGAGTAAATCCCCAATTCACCAAATACATTAAGTCTGTATACTGCAGACTTTGTCTCGGTCTGGGGTATTCCGCTGATGATCTCGTTCTTGGCCAAGGCGGAACTATCTATTGTTCATCATCACGCAAATTACGTGTGAATGTCCAGGTCTCACTTGTACCTACCTAGCGAAAAGAGGTGATAATCGCCCTCGCCAAGCCAGTGGCACAGCATCTGTTCAATATGGACGGCCTGTGGTTTGGCTTGGCTCTCGGTAGGAAGGGAAAGTGGCTTGTGGGCACTATGGTCTCAATAGGTAGGTGACGTGCCCAGAATCATGAAAAAACACAGTCGTCCCTGGTCACAATCGCTCGTACTGGCTGATGGTAGCTTGGGTCGCATTTCATTCCTACGTGCATTGAAAGAGTGTAGTACCGGTAATACTGTAGTAGTGTACGGCACTTGGCCTGCATCTTGCTTGCTTGCCTGCCTGCCGTGGTGGATGGATGGATGAATGGATGGACGATCAGATCCATGCAGGATGCAGATACTCGAGTGCAGATTGCCACTTAACCTTCACTGAGGTTTAAACCTAACTGTAAATCCCTTATCTCGTGTAGTTTGTCTTTGTCGCAGGACCCTTAACTTTGCTTAGTGCAGAAACGAGAAAAAGCCAAGACAGACAAGAGGAATTCCTGATTTCCCCCTTTTCCCTCCAAGTACAGTAAACTTGAGGATAGGAAAGCCCCAGAAGCCGTTCCTAGCCACCGAGGTTCGACGGTAAAGATTTATTTACAGTAATGAACACACCAAGGATTGTGCTACGACTGAGACCAGCGGTGTGTGCTGGTGGTGCTGCGGGTGCGCTTGTTCGCCTCGTTCTGGGGAAACCATGTTCGTCGTTCTGCCTATCGGAGACGCCAGTTGCAAATGACAATTTCCAAGAGACGGGGTCCCCCATAAAACTACCTACCTGCTCTCCTAACACGTACTAATAACTTCTACACATAGTAATAACCTAGCTATATATACATGCACATGTACACGTAATTAGATAATGTGGTGTAGGTGCAGTACTCATGCCCAGCAAAATGCGG